TTCCTCGATTAATTCTTGCAGATAAATTGGTGCCAATTCATGAATGCATTTATAAGTTAAAACTAAGATTTTGTACATGATGCGGTACGTCACCGGCAAAATATGTTTAAGTGGTACATTTGACATGTTCAGGATATAAATCTATGAGCTTCAGCGACCTGAATTCCTTTTGATGCTGTAGCACTGGAAAGGCAAAGTCAACCTCAGCCCTTAACCAAAACCAAAAAATGAGTTTGTATGTATTCAAGTTTCCATCGAATAACATATAATATTCAAATCCATGAACAAGTTATAGTATTGGTTATCTGTTCATTTCAACAATTCATGTCATAGTGAAAGTAATCAGTTACTAGGGCCTGACTATGAAGTTGTAAAAAGCAAAGGGAAATATGTCAGAGCAAATAAATATGATTTTTTTTTTTTTTTAATTGAACGAAACCCTTCATAGTTTCATTGAGCACTGTTAAAGATGATTCCTTTTTTGCCCATATAGAAACCAGCATGAGTATTATACATATGTGTTGATGTGATTTCAAGGTTATACTCCTCATGTCTTTGTAAAGTTTGTTTTGACTGACAACCGACAAGTATTCAACTCGTGCTTATTATCGATGTAGTCAACACATTGGCTCTAATGAATGCATCAGTAAGTGTTTCAGTATCTCATATATTTTATATGCATTTCTTAGTTGTTGTTTTTTTAAATAAAAAAAATAATGATAGTCAAATTGGTAATTACGTGTTGTAATTTGAGGTTTAAGAGTTTAGACAAATATATATAAAAAATATCACTGAAAACAAAATAGATATAAATATAAATATAAATATATATTAAGAAATATATAGCTCATAAATTAATTTTACCATGAGCTATTGAAAAGCCCAAATACGTCGTCAGAAAGATGATACTGTCATTCTTTCTGCTCTCAATTATATTTTAACCCAACCCTGCACGCAAGATGGTGAATAATTGTGTGGTTTTTGTTTTGTTTTGTTTTGGGTTGTAATATTTTGTATGGCCAGCCATAAGAATTTTGGGGGGGGGGGGGGAGCTAACATAATAAAGGGAAAATAGATTACTTATTTTTTATTATTGTTGTGAAATACTTGATATTGGATACTTGATATTTTATATTGTCAGACTGGGCATATTATGTTTGATACTAAAGTCATTTGCTGAAAAAGTTAAATTTGTACAATCCAATACTGTATGTGGTATCACAGACAGGGGCGGCGATTTCTTTTCATGACCGGGGGGGGGGGGACGAAATGTAAGAGACGGGGGAGCAGTGGCGTATATATTGAACAAAAACGGGGGGGGGGGGGAATCCGCATCCCCACTCTAACATTGTACATGCAGGCCTCGCGGAACGTTTTTCATAGAGGGGGAGGCTAAAGTATTTTATTAGGTAGAGCAAATGGAGCATATAACAAGTAGAGCGTAAAGTGGCGTGTGGTCCAGGGGCGTAGGCCCATGAAGCTCAGGGGTTTTAGGCATTTAATAACGGTCAGATGAGCATCCAGGGGCTCGTCTTAGACCCCCTTGTGGGGTCCAGGGGCGTAGGCCCATGAAGCTCAGGGGTTTTAGGCATTTAATAACGGTCAGATGAGCAAACAGGGGCCAGCCATAGGACCCTTGGTGGGGTCCAGGGGGCAGAGCCCCCAGAAGCTCAGGGAAAAACCATACCATTTCAGCAACATTTGTAAATCACTGGTATCGAGTTAGAAATAAATCAAGTTTGAATTTTATTAGGGGGCAACTGCCCCCCAAGCCCCCCCCCCCCTCCTCATCATTACGCCAAGGCGAGAAGGCAAAGTGAACGAGAGGGGTAGAGGTTACGGAAGTGACTATCCCCTCACAGGTTTTTGAAGTTTTGTTGTATTAACAAATTACATACTTTAATTAGCAAAAGAATAGTATAAAAACAAGCAATATACCTTTTTCACACTTCACTTTTCTAGAATATTTACTGTACACTTTAGAGAATATTATGCGAGGGAGCGTAGCTCCGGAGCGAGAAGATTTTTGCATTTTTATTTGTCTAAACGCTGCACTCTAGGGCCCTCCAGAGCCTAAAAGTTTGTTGCAGTCTTTAGTCAGTATTTGATATACACTTTTTTTCTCACTTTTTCAATTTTTCAGGGAGGGACGATCCCCCCCCCCTAAAAAAAATGAGGGGGGGGGGGGACGTGTCCCCCCGTCCCCCGGGATCGCCGCCCCTGATCACAGGGTTTGTAGCATATATATATATATTTTTTCTGATCCAATCTTTGAAAGAAAACAAACTTTTAATTAAAAACTAGTTCTGTGGTAAAGCATTCTATTTTTTATCAGGTCACAGTTTTTTTTCTTCCAGTGTAAATTTGAGTTGATGGAGAAGTTTGTTAACAAAATCTTTGTTAAGTACATAAAAATAACGTTCATCGGTTCAGTCTAGAAACTCCATACATAATCTATGCGATACATTACCATTTTATAATGTGAACTTAATGGCCATATAATAACACTCAACCAAGCAGAATATTTGTTTGATCTTTATTTTTTAGGTTGTTGAAATTGATTTACATGTAAATGTTTATGTAGTTGAATGTTTAAAATGAGCAAAAATTAAGTGGGAACAAAACTTTAAAACATGATCTTATCAAGTTTTATGAAATGAATGGTTAGAACGCAGTTTTTTAGAAGATACTACAGTAAATTATACACAACAGGTTATAGGAGCAGAACGAGAGGTCAGGTCTGTCATATAAAGAACACATTAATAAAGGAGCAGAACTAGAGGTCGTATGAGCGGCACTAGCGGTCGGGTCTGTGATATAAAGAACACATTAATAAAGGTGCAGAACTAGAGCTAGAGGTCGTATGAGCGGCACTAGCGGTCGGGTCTGTGATATAAAGAACATATTAATAAAGGGGCAGAACTAGAGGTCGTATGAGCGGCACTATAGCGGTCAGGTCTGTCATATAAAGAACACATTAATAAAGGAGCAGAACTAGAGGTCGTATGAGCGGCACTAGCGGTCGGGCCTGTGATATAAAGAACACATTAATAAAGGTGCAGAACTAGAGCTAGAGGTCGTATGAGCGGCACTAGCGGTCGGGTCTGTGATATAAAGAACATATTAATAAAGGGGCAGAACTAGAGGTCGTATGAGCGGCACTATAGCGGTCAGGTCTGTCATATAAAGAACACATTAATAAAGGAGCAGAACTAGAGGTCGTATGAGCGGCACTAGCGGTCGGGTCTGTGATATAAAGAACACATTAATAAAGGTGCAGAACTAGAGCTAGAGGTCGTATGAGCGGCACTAGCGGTCAGGTCTGTGATATAAAGAACACATTAATAAAGGAGCAGAACTAGAGGTCGTATGAGCGGCACTAGCGGTCGGGTCTGTCATAATTATAAAGAACACAAATAAAGGAGCAGAACTAGAGGTCGTATGAGCGGCACTAGCGGTCGGGTCTGTGATATAAAGAACACATTAATAAAGGTGCAGAACTAGAGCTAGAGGTCGTATGAGCGGCACTAGCGGTCAGGTCTGTGATATAAAGAACACATTAATAAAGGAGCAGAACTAGAGGTCGTATGAGCGGCACTAGCGGTCGGGTCTGTCATAATTATAAAGAACACAAATAAAGGAGCAGAACTAGAGGTCGTATGAGCGGCACTAGCGGTCGGGTCTGTGATATAAAGAACACATTAATAAAGGTGCAGAACTAGAGCTAGAGGTCGTATGAGCGGCACTAGCGGTCAGGTCTGTGATATAAAGAACACATTAATAAAGGAGCAGAACTAGAGGTCGTATGAGCGGCACTAGCGGTCGGGTCTGTCATAATTATAAAGAACACAAATAAAGGAGCAGAACTAGAGGTCGTATGAGCGGCACTAGCGGTCGGGTCTGTGATATAAAGAACACATTAATAAAGGTGCAGAACTAGAGGTCGTATGAGCGGCACTAGCGGTCGGGTCTGTGATATAAAGAACATATTAATAAAGGGGCAGAACTAGAGGTCGTATGAGCGGCACTAGCGGCGGTCGGGTCTGTGATATAAAGAACACATTAATAAAGGAGCGGAACTTGAGGTGATTCTTTAGATCTTCTACAGGTGCCCTTTTCATTTCTTAATTTCCAACTTTCTTCATATTTACTAGTATAGAGTTGTTTATTTTTAAAACATGTAAATCCGATTAATATGTTAAAAATGTCCCCACATCACAATTAATATCACCATCACATTTTACCTATCAATTTATGTTAATGTGTTTAAAATGTAAAGGCTCAAAATCTAAATATTACGAGAAAAGGAAATGAAATGCTTTGTCCATTCTCTCTTTGTTACCTTTTTTTTTACCCACTCATCCATGTAAGTTCGATTTGTTTTATGTATGATGTGAAATATACTGAAGTTTCCATTATCATTATTGTTAGTTTATTCCTTGAACTAATGTGATCGTTTCCATATTAATGTACATGTATTTGTAATTTCTCTTTATTGAACTTTGTAATCTTTGCAATATATTGAAGTTACCATTATCATCATTGTTAATTTATTCCTTAAACTAATATGTGATCGTTCCATATTGATGTACATGATTATAATTTCTCTTTATTTCTTTGAACTTTGTAATCTTTGTTTGTATCAGTCGCCGACTGTTTTAACATTGAATTTTGACACAATAAACCGAAATGAATGAATGAATGAATGAATGAATGAATCACAAGCGGAACATTATTTTACGACAAAATATGGCTAAATTTGAGAGCACCGGTAATCGTTTTCATTGTATTTGGTCGAATGAGGATCTGAGAAGTACATGCATGCCGCACTGGCATTATGACTAGCATTATGTCGCGTTTGTATTACGCGCGCGCTGTATAATGAATATGCATGAAGTGTGACGTATCCTTTGACTCGGCCACGCCCCGACCTCTAGTGCCGCTCTTCGTATGCTATCCTATCCTCGGTCGGCAATATGCATTTGCATTGCATGTACTGTGCGTGTATTGGGTATGCGCCTATATTGCAAGGAAAGGAATTAACCGTAAATCAGTCAGTGGTCGTAGAGAAAAGGTCAACTGCTAAGCACAAAATTGTCTGCAGTTTACACCAGAAATGGCGGGTAAAACCGCCCCAGGTTCATCCCTTCGACTAGAATGGGTGTATGGATATAGAGGACATCAATGTCGAAATAATCTTTTCTACACCGCTTCTAAAGACGTGGTATATTTTGTGGCGGGAGTGGGAGTGGTTTACAATTCGAGGGAACACACTCAGAAATTCTTCTTGGCACACGATGATGACATTGTCAGGTAAGCCATTCGAATTCAAGTTCAAAAACAGCTTCTAAGTTACAGTCTATTCAGTTTAACGGCATTATCACAAAACTTTTGATTTTGATCAAACTATTATTAGTAGGTCTAGCACATAATTGATCATAGACCCTAGTCCAGTTAAAATATCTTCTTGGATGATGCTGGATGTGAAGTGGGGGAAGGGGGAGGGAGGGGGGTTCATGCACAATGATGTAGTTGTCATTTGGGGTTGTATGAAGTCAGGGCTGTCAACCCTCCCGCATTTGGAGGGAGTCTCACGCCACCACACTCATTCTCCCGCCGTCCCACCAGCTCGTAGCGGGAGACTCCCACAATTTCCCGGTTTATGAAAAAACCTCCCGCCAAACGTGTAATATTAACCAGCGTACTCGTATCATTTGGATTTTTTTAGGTCTAGTGAGCACTTCAATTTTTTTTTCTTTCTTACTCAACACCCCTTCCTTGTTGAGCCAAAAAAAATTGCATATGATCTCCCTCGAAGCAGTTCCCCAAAGTTGATAGCCCTGATGAAGGTGGTCTGCTATCTCAACTTAAAATGTACATGTATAGAAATCTTGCAGAATAGGGGAATAAAATATCTTGCAATGCACTCATAAGAGTCATAGGAGGATTAGGATACTATACATTGTAGTTTGTACACGCTATCGCTGTGACTATCGCTGTGAATCAATGTTTTGTTTATAGTTCCTAATGCCCTCTTACTTAAATATTACATTTATATTATATTGACTGGGCTTGAGGGGTACATAAGAAATATTGACTAAGCTAAGATCATATTGCCCTGAGTCGAAGACGAGGGCAATAGGGTCTTAGCGCGGTCAATATGTCTGATGTACCCCAAAAGAAGCCCTGTCAATATAATTATTGTTACCTATACAAGGCACTTTTTTACAAATGATATACAACTTTCAAAGACGCCAAGTTCAAAGATCGGCAATGCGTGATATTTTCATGATTTGGCGCGCAAGCGTGCGTGCGAGGGTATAACACACGTATAAATAGCGTTTTTTCAAAATATAGCGCGCGCGTCGTGCTTGATACTTTGGTATCAAGCATCATTTTTACTCACCATGTATGCATGTATATCCTTTACTCTTGTCCAGAGATGAAAATGTATGAAAATGTAATTGTGACGTAAATTGTTACCGCGCGTAAACTTTAACACGTACACAATACTGCGCTTATGCACTTTAATAAAAGCGCACTGACAAGAAAGAGTGGAATATGGCAGAATGTTGCCCTCTGATTTAGTACAGTAGTCTATGGGGAAACCCGGGAGAGGGCAATATATGGGGAATGTTGCATGCTTCGGTTTCGTATTCGGAGTAGCATACAAAATACAACTTTATATTTTACAGCAAAAATGCCTTGTATGGGTAACAATATAATATATTGCACAGTGCACACCATGCATTTTTACCTAATAAGAATTATATGTGGTATTAATTGCATTTCCTTTTCAATTTTTTGTTATCGTTCCTCATGCACTTGCTCAAATAATACATTATAATGTTGCATACCATGCATTGTTACCTCATAAGAACTTTGTCATTTATAAATTAAGAAAAAGAAATGTTTTGATAAATTCTGTAATTATTTGACAAGCTTATTTGAGAGAATTTTGAAGATAACAAACTTGAAATGAACTGCATGCTAGAATTCTATAGGTTAATGATTAAACTGTCATTCTACATACTCTATTCTTTGTCAATAATGAAGAAGAAAAAAGTTATGATAAAGATTCGGACTATTTAACTTATTCCCTTAAGCTCCAGCTCAATTTTGTTCTCTCCCATTTATCTCATCCTATCGCTATTTTAAATCTTTATTTTGAAATTTAATATGGTAACTATTATGCTCCTTGACAGCTTGAAAATATTTTTCTAAATTTATACTGTCATATATTCTTGAATGGCTCGTATATGGTAATGCATGTTGGTATTTATTTCCATCTTTTTTCTCCTGATTTTCTATTCTTAGGTAGCTTCTCTCCATCTCTGTCTCTGTCTCTTTTCTCTTTTCTTTTTTTTCTGGGGGGGGGGGGAGGGGGGAGGGGGAGATCTCTTCAAAACGCCTGTCCCATATTTTTACTATGCTCAATGGTATGGCTCCACAATTAGTTTTTTTTTTGTAAGAAGGTCCTTATTCATTATTGTAAAGTAAATAGTCTGTAAAACTCTGTATATACCCTATGTAAAAATCTTGAAAGTTTACCCAGACTTTGGGTGCCAATGTGTTAGTGTTGATCCCTGTCATGGTTTTGGATGCTTCCTTTCGACTACTTATCACCCCTTTTTTTTTTACATCTCTTTTTCATAATGTACCAATGTTTTCCCTTTATTGCTTTTCTTATATTGAAAATCATTCTTTGATAATCAATTACTCTTTTCAAAGTTGTATTTTTTATTCTAATTACATTAATGTTTTTTTTTCTTCAATTTAATATACATAAGTATGTTTCTGAACTCCTTGTCCACTGTCTTGTAAATTGATGAGAACTTCAACCGAAACAAATTATTACTGATTATCATCAGGTACCATTTGGTGGTATTTCTTATTGTCTTAGTTTTTTTTATTTATGGACTATACGTTTGCCTCTACCTGGAAATTCAATTAGAAATAAGATTTAGAAAAGATTTTTGAACGGTTGGTCTGAAAGGTTATGGGAAGCAAAAGCATATGGATGTTGTCTGTCTCATGGAATTCTAATTTCCTTTAATTAATTCTACAGTCATGATATCAACGATTTTAGAGAAATTCCTACTTGGAATAGACTTCTTATTCTCTAACTTGAAAATAAACATACATTTCAATTACTACAAGGCACAAGCTAAATTTTTTCTTCATTTTTTAGGGGTGGATTTTCTTTATTGTTATAAGGAAAAAGATAAACAATTCAATATCTTTCACAACTGTCGAAATATTAATACCTTTTAATATATCAAATCTATCCTGGTTATTCCCAATCGAAGTTGTACTACATACTATCATCTATCAAATTACATGTACATGAATGTATGGAAGTAGCACATTAGGGTATGATCTTAATTTAGCGTGATTGAGCGCGGTGAGAATAGAGTGCTATGGTACAATAGCCAATGCCCCCAGGTGAGTCAGGTCTTTACGTCAAATATTCAGTAGAGAATTGTCCAATTTGACGAGTCACATGAATCATGGGATAGAATAAAAGCACAAAGGTTATTATGTTTAACCCATAAAGATTAAATCTGAGCAGGTAATGGACACTGAACCGATCGATGTACATGTAGCACGAGGTTCTTCTGTCGTGGGAAACTTAATCTTGTTATGGCACTGGACTATAAAATATTTAAACATACTGTAAACCATTAACCATGGTACAATTTTCAAAATCGTCATGGCAGACAGAAAAAGAAACTCTTTCAATTTATTAGAAATGGGGTTCAAGTGAACATGTATGGTCATGTTTATTTAAACATTTGAGGAGCCTAGAACAGTAGATTTTCTCACCAGTATTTAGCCTTTTTTCAATGATGGTATTTTAAATCCTGCAGAATCCTAACCCACTGCATTACTGCCATTTATAAATAAAGCCATAATTTTCAAAAAAAATGTTAACTTGTATTAACTTTGAGATGCACTGCCTTTTTTAACAGATAGTCAGATACATCTATCAGCATTCAACTTTTTCTCAAGGACCATGGAGCAAAGAACTGTGTGTCATGGGCCCCTGTAATTACTACCTTTTGACAGTTTGGCATTTGTGGGACTGGGGTCCGTACTAATTTGTGGCATCTGTAGGGATCTTTGTGTATTTTCTAACTTTAATCAATATCATGTTATTATCATTATCAGTGAGTATATTTGAATTGTGTATACTAAAGTACAAATGTAAATATGTTCTTGTAAATTTGTTCTTATTTTCCTTTGATATGATGTTAATAATAATAATAAAAAGGTGCTTATAAAGCGCTTACCACCAAAGTCTCCAAGCACTATAACAAACAAAATACGATGATAAACTATTACTATTTAAAAAAATAAAAAATTGTGAACGATGTAGATGGATTATTTCTGCTGTTTCTTTACCAGCTTGGCCATCCATCCTGAGCGATCACTCATTGCTACTGGTCAGTTTGGAAAGGATCCTTACATCTGTGTATGGGACTCTAACAGTGTCCAGACAGTGTCTATTCTCAAGGATGGCCACACTCATGGCGTTGGCTCTCTTGCATTCAGTCCCGACGGCTCTGTAAGTTTCACCAAATCTTTATTTTTGTTTATTATATACTTTAAATGCTTTGATTGATGTGACTAATAGTATGGACATTCCAATATAAAGGTATCGTTTAGCTCTTACCAAACGTTACACCATATCTTTTTCTTAAACAGATTAAATAGATTTCTGTTACTGCAATTTCTTGTATCATCCACCCTCAAAATAATTTGTTAACCCTCTGTAGGGGATCTTTGAAATTTGCAACATCAACAACAGCAACAATAACAACAACAACAGTGTCCAAAAGAAAAAGAAAGAAAAAAAATCTGATTTCTGAATGAGGAGAATTCTTCTTGGAATGCTAATAAGAAAAAATGACTTATGACTAATGAAAGTTTTTTTTTAGGCCTGTCAATTGCTAAAACTTGTACTGTATGTGTTTTTAATGCTAATGATTATATTATATCACCAATGTAAAATTGCAACTAATGTGTAAAAATCAAGACTTAAAATCATAGAAATCAATTCAGAGAACTTGGAATGTGTGTGTCAGCACAATAGATAGCTAAAAGAATACCTAATAATGATCCTGTTAGGTGAAAATCTACTTCTCATTCAAATTGTCTATTTTGACATTTATTCCTACATGTATATTGTAGCGCCATTCTCACAGTCCTTGACCCGTTTGTATTTATAAGGTTAATGGCTTTATTCATCTGCATTTTAATATTTGAGGCCATATTTACTCTGCATTCGCCTCTAGAGGAAAGACATTCTTTCCTCCAGCTGTTGACCTGTGTGAATATACACATGTAGCTTGCAGAGAAAGACACATTGCTTTTCTTCTGAAATCTGGAGAATCGTCAATTGCCCCACCCTAGCCTAATGATGAGCTCATCTTATAAAACATACTCATATTGCCCACTTGTAGTGAATAGAATAACTGAATAAGTAAATTAGATCTGGTTGATTGTTTGAAGTTGCTCCTGGACTTCAACATCTTGAGAAGAGTCCTTGATATCACAATGCCAATGCTACAGTGTAGACTTACTCAGAATTCAGATGAAGACATTAGGCATTTTTATTTGCATACCCCGGTAGTGCATTCTACAAATTTACCCTGCACAGCTTCAGTGATTTGAGTTATTACGTGTAACTCACAAAATTCTATGTAAAAGATAATCTATGGAAATGTTTTTTTATTTGAAGAAAAAAAAAGCTGAATATGATAAAAGTAGCCCCAGATATGAAAGTCGTTATTTTTCTTCAAATGAGTCTTCAAAAGAAAAGAAAACAACTTGAATAAAAATATCAGCTTGAAACCACCGAATGTTATAGCCAACTTCTTCAAATTTGCTGTTGAAAATAAGTCCTCTTTTTAACTCTGAAGTACATGGTTGCTCGTTGTGGCCCTGTTTTTATCTTAACTTTGGACTTTAGAGATATTCATAGCGTCAAACACGATTTGACAAACTAAACAAAAATTTAGATCAAATGGTTTACGGACTATCTGTAAGTTTTTGCATGAATTCAACAAATAATTTCTAGATGAATCCATTGTTACTGTAATATTTTACTTTGTTTACATTTTGTATTCATTATAATCAGAAAAACTTGAATAACCACTTTGGAACTGTACAAAATGTATAGTGCATGTAGGTTTGCAGAGATACAAAACACACACAAAAAAAATTGCTTATAAATATCTTTCACAATAGCAATGCAATCTGAATCCAATTAAAGTGTGTTGGTGTGGTGATTGAGTATAATTTCAAAGTGTGAGGTCCTCGGGTTAACGTCTTATTAAAGCTAAGAGTGGTGGTGTGTCAAGAGGGAAAGGAGTTGTACTTGTGATGGAAATGGATGTGGCAGGACGGTCCTGAAGAGTTTGGAGGGAGGTCCTCATGGAGGAACCTGTGCTAGACAATAAACAGGAAACAGGATAACTACCCATACTTTGCATAGTCATTGGATCAGCCTTTTCCCTTCCTCCTTAAATAGGTTAAATGCAGTAATTTGAAATGTCACAAATTCACGATGTTATTCATTTGAAGTTTGTTATAAAATAAAAGTTGCTTCTACTTGTATTTTGATTTTGTAAAGGTTTTACCTTTAAGATTACAATTTAAGAAATAAGCATTGCTCCATTTTAACTTTCTACCTAAAGTTCTGGATGTTCACAAAATCACTGTTTCCATTTTTTTTATATTAAGGGAGGGGGGGGGTAATATGTACATGTTTGCACTTGACTCCTTCTATTGCCAAACCATGAAGTACAAAAATATTTGTTTCAAATTAAAGTGAGTACCGTAGTAAGTGTTGATACATATGTATGGATGAAGATGTCTTCACAATTGTTTCACGCTCATACAAAACTTTAAGATTCTTTTAGACTTGTTTTTAAGAACTAACTGCCTTAGGAAACTTATTTACCAGGTGTCTGCCAATCATTAGTAAATAATGTAAGAAGGACATTACTTTGGGAAATCCAAAATTAAATTTGAAAATTCTTTTTGCCTGTTATTCATTTGCAGAGAATCGTATCTGTCGGTCTGGACCCTAACAACATCATGAATGTGTGGGACTGGAAGAAAGGCAAGATCTTATCTACTGTGAAAGGTCATTCAGCTAGGGTAAGAACACATTTTAAAGTTAAATTGTTGAAGTTGGTGCCGTGCAAAAATAAGATAAACTGAACTGAACTGAACTATACAGTGTTAAGTGGAAAGTTAAATAGAATTGATTGAATCGCTTTGAGTTTATTTATTTAATCACATTAGTAAAGAAGCTACTATGAAAAACTGATTTTCAGGCTTTCAGCAACGCTGTGAAATACATTTTTGAAAACTACATGAATATTTTTAAACAAAAAACAATGAAATATTAAGAACAAGTTTAGAAATAAACATTTTCGAAGGAAATTTACATTTAAAATGTAATTGAATAGAAATTTTGAACAATGATAAAATTCCTAGTGGTGAAGTCGTTGTGAGGTTTCATCCTTCATAATCCCAAATTATTTGATTTTTCACTAGATATTTGATTGCCAGTTCAACCCACACAAAGAAGGTACGTTGGTAAGCTGTGGCATGAAGCACATCAAGTTCTGGACCCTGTGTGGGAATGCTCTGACGGCTAAGAAGGGTGTCTTTGGCAAGGTGGGAGACATCCAGACCATGCTGTGTCTGGGGTTTGCACCCAACGATGACATCACCTATGCAGGGACACTGAGTGGGGATATCTATGTATGGAATGGGACCAACCTACAGAGAGTTATACAGGATGCTCACAGGGTAAGGCTGGATTCATTGAAATCCAGAATTGTTTGTTATTGTTTTTGCCAACCCATTTGATTATAAATGCATTTTCCATCGGCCACAGTGTGAGTTTCACCCATGCTAAGTATGCAACGGGTAATTAAATCCTGAAGATGATTTGAAGGAAAAAAGGATACTACATGTACATGTAGCAAGACTAATGATTCTAAGTGCGTTACAAAGCTCTTATCAAAATGTGGCCAAGCTACTCTGACAAGGTGTTTAAGGATTCAAGGAATGTGTTGCTACCATGTACCCATTTAATTTACCTGGGTGGAAAGAGGCTAATGTAACGTAATATCTTGCCAGAGGAAGTGAGTGCCATAACAGGGATTTTAACCCCGTTCCTGGTGATCTATAGTCTGGGGACATTTCCACTTTACCAGCAATAATGTTAACAAGATTGTTAAGATAGTTATATGATTAAACTTGACCAGTAATTGTTTATAGACTTTTGCATGAGACGATGATAGACATCATTCTGTCTTCTTTGTCTTGATATGATCGTGCAGGGTAGCATATATACGATGAACGCAGCTGAAGGAGGGTATGTGACTGGAGGAAAGGATGGATGTCTGTGTCTATGGGATACAGACTTCAGACACATTACCAAGATTGACCTACACAAGACCAAGCAAGGATACCCAGGTAAGGACTAGGGATTAGCAGATTGTATGCAAGAGAGACAGAGAGAGAGAGAGAGAGAGAGAGAGAGAGAGAGAGAGAAGAAGAGAAGAAAAAACCCACCACAAATCAATGAATTACTATTTAAATAGTCCCTAAAATCTTCTAAGCAGCCTTTTTCTTAGGACAATTTTTGTTGTTATTGAAAATTTGAAAAGAGTTATGTAGGCAGATTGACACCATGAAAGTCATATATATGTGCTGCTTGGCTTTATTATTCACAAGAAGAAATTTCTATAGGCCAGGACCAGAAGGAAAAAAAAAAGTCGTAATATAGGTGCTAATGTGAGATTGAAAATCGTCTTAATTTTAGTAGGATTTGAAAAATTGTGTAACTTTTGTTTTGATGATATTGCATTGTACAGGTCTCTCGATCCGCAGTGTCCATTGGCTGGGTGAGCACATCCTAGTGGGCACCCATGACAGCGAGATCCTGGAGATCTTTGTACGAGAGAGAGATAAACCCAAGGTGTTGGTGCAAGGTCATGCAGAGGGAGAGCTCTGGGCCCTCACAGCACATCCTAAGAAACCTATCTTTGCCACCGGTAGTGATGACCAGAGTGTAAGGTAAGTCGTTTAACTCATTGCCAATGGGAATTGGGTGGCTCCTGTATCACAGGAAATGGTCACTGGTTTGAATACATCAATTCTCTTCAACTTTTTAAGTAGTTCATACTATCCAATAGAGCATCATTCTTGCTACGGTAGTTGAATTTGTCACAGAAACATAAATTATGGCTAAGTGCATTGCTTACACTTATTTCTGTTAAGCACTGTACAGGTGTAATTTAATCGAGAATAAAACTAGAGTTTCAGAAACATTAACCAAAGGTTTCACATGCATTGATCTGATGTATTTATAGAAATGATTAGCCAATTATTTAACTCTATTGAAGTCACGCTGTAGATCTATACACATATACTATACATTGTATGTGACAAGGGGTCCTAGTCATTAACATTATTGAATTAGCTGCCTGTGTTCAAGGGCATTAGAGCTGTGTGCAGCTGACAAGAGGCTCAATTGAATTTGATTGGTATCATTTCTGTAATATGCTTTTATCAGTGACAGTAAACACTGCTTTAGGAATCTTCGATATTGCATTTATTTATTCAGGTTTTTTGCTCATATTTAATCAGAATTGCCAATGTGTTCCTGAAAATAATTGAAAATAAATGCTTCCCATTTAGGAGTTAATTGCTATAAATGGTTCTTTAAAAAATCCCTATCAAGTAAAATGATTCTTAGTTAACATATTTGTACCGATAAGTACGAAGAACACTGAAAAAGAACGTATCATTATTTAACAGGATATGGCACAGTGAAGATAAGACGTTACTGGCAAAGACAGAGATGGAGCAAAATGTGCGGTCGGTAGCTTTCAACCATGATGGCAGTCATCTTGCAGTTGGCATGTCAGACGGATCCTTCACAGTACTCAAATCAAAGTGAGTGCTACAGATGCATTTTTTTTGTATTTTTTTGTAGAAAAGAAAGTACATTGTGTAGAGAAAAGAAAGTAAATTGTGTAGAAAAACGTGAGCCGAAAGAAGAAAGTAATTCTTACAAATGAATTGTATCAAATGGTGCAACATATTCAAACTTGCGCAATATGATAAAAACTTTGAAGAAATATCAACCAACCAAGACTCATGTAGGTATACTTACACAGCAATACAGAATCAAGAGGTTAGAGATGTTTATACCAGATTTACCTTTAATACTGTTGTTATGATTATTTTAGAGTCACCAGTCTTCAAGATCTTTTTAGAAGGCATTGATACATGTATTTGTTGCTGAATTTTCTTGATTCAAGCCTGCCTCCCAAATGATAAATGGATAAATATTGTTTGTAACTGCACTGTACTAAAAAAGTAATTACCTATGATCAAGTTACCCACAGAATCCAAAGTCCTAATGAATCATTGTACATCCTCCTCGGCACACAGAGATCTTTCAGAGATCATCCACATCAAGGATCGCAAGGAGGTCCTGCACGAGTTGAAGTATTCTCCGGAGGGTCACTATCTTGCTGTAGGCTCGAATGATAACTATGTAGATGTGTATGCTGTGGAGCAACACTACAAGAAGGTTGGGCAGTGCTCTGGTAGCAGTAGCTTCATCACTCATCTAGACTGGTCCAAGGATAGCCAGTATCTTCAGACCAACAGTGGTGCTGCAGAGAGACTCATCTATAAGATGCCTGGTAATAATTTTGTTGTTGTTGACTTATTTATCCACATAGTTATTGCGCTTTACAAATGAATATTATTATTATTATTATTATTATTATTTGATTTTCTAAGATTGCCAAAAAGGTATTGATGACAGTTTCATTACCAGTTGAAATACTTCTTGAATAGAAATATTTGACTTTACAGACCACATTTTTGTTGGGATCTCTGGAGCAGTCTTTTCATAGTTTCAAAGAAACCTGTACATAAAGACCACCTACTTACAAAGACAATTTTATAGTCTCTTGAGCTGTCATTGTATTCATGTTTTACTGTATCAAACATAAAATATTCTCAGTTTTTGTAATGTCAGAGAATACCTACACTTATATAATTCTAACTTCTAACTTCTAACTTCATGCTATCTATGACAGCTGGAAAGCATCTGACCAACCGAGATGAGATCAAACAGATCCACTGGTACTCCTGGACCACTGTACTTGGAGCTGAAGCTAATGGTATCTGGCCCAAGTACTCGGACACCAATGACGTCAATGCAATAGATGCAAACTTTGATGGAGAGGTGATGGTGACAGGAGATGACTTTGGCCTGGTCAAGCTCTTCAGATTTCCCTCATTGAAGCGAGGTGAGTTTGGAATGCAGTTCTGCACTTCTCAAGATGATGTTTATTATTATAGCCTTGGCCAAATCAGCGATGCATTTCAAATGGAGCCGGGCTAACTGGGACCTGGGGACAATTCGGCCCGACTGCTTTTGCAGGCTTAGGGTTAGGGTAAACAAAAATGACTGTTTTTGCAGCAGGCCGAGTTGTCCTGGGTCCGAGTTAGCCCATATCCGTTTCAAACTTTTAGGTTGCAAATTATTTGTGTTGGAGTGTCCAAATAAAGCAGCAGTGTATTCACTATATTAGAAATAAAGCTTCATTCGGGAGCGCCAGGAGTGTCACGTATGAAAGACATTAGCGCTATACAAGAACCCACTATTATTATTATTATTATTATTTTAACCTATTGACTACTTAAATCTCTACTTCACATAGGCTTGATACAGGGACCTTCCAGTTCCCATATAAAGATACCTCAAATGTACCTCGGCCTCCTGAGACGTTGGGAAGGCAGTTATTTGTGTTGGAGTGTCCAAATAAAGCAGCTGTGTATTCACTATATTAGAAATAAAGCTTCATTCGGGAGCGCCAGGAGTGTCACGTATGAAAGACATTAGCGCTATACAAGAACCCACTATTATTATTATTATTATTATTTTAACCTATTGACTACTTAAATCTCTACTTCACATAGGCTTGATACAGGGACCTTCCAGTTCCCATATAAAGATACCTCAAATGTACCTCGGCCTCCTGAGACGTTGGGAAGGCAGTAAGGCACATTTAATTCCCAACAAAAATGTACTTGATAATCTCATCGGTGTTGCTGTTATTTTTTTAATTGTTATTTTCTAATTGTAATCTTTTATAATTTTCTTTCCTGGTGCCAAGTTCAGAAAGTAAACTGGTCAGTCTGCCAATAATCCCAGCATGAATAATATTGTTGTTGCTGTTTTATTATTCTCTTATTCTTAACTTCAACATGTTTCTTTTGGCAGGTGCTAAGTTCAGGAAGTATGTTGGTCACTCTGCCCATGTGACCAATGTGAGGTTCACCCATGATAAGAGGTATGTGGTGTCTGTAGGAGGTGGTGACCATGCTGTCTTCCTGTGGAGGTACAACCCAGAGGGTATTCAGAATGATGAAGATTCAGGCACAGGCCATGATACAGGTCAGTATACGATGGTTTAAATTCAAACATTATAGCCTGAATCATGGATTTCCTGCAAAGGTACTATCCTGTGATATCCAACCAGATGAAGAGTTTGGATTCTCCAATCCTTACAAAAAACTTGGACAGGAATGTTTAGATAAAAATAAGAAGACTGTTTTCTGAATGTATTAGATCCTATGTTGTGTAGCTAGGATAGCTGTATTCTTTCACACTTAAATACCCTGACTTGGAAGTTCTACATAGACGATTATCACAAGATTTATTCTTATGACATAAACATAAAACCCTATAATATTTCAAAATGATAGCCATTCTTTATCTTCTATTAAATTTGAAGTGTACATTCTCTCTCTGAACAGGATACATGGATTCAAACAGTGAGGACAGTGACTCAGACATGTCAGATATGGGTGATCTGGACTCCGACATTGAGAAGGAGAAGGAGATCGACTATGAGAGGGCTGTTTACAAGGAGGACCTGGACCAACTCAAGAGACAGAACAAGACCAATAACTCTACAGGAGAGAAGAGACGAGATGGTCCAAGCAAAGGAATTAAGCTAGACTTTGTGCATGGGTGAGTTACAATAGAATATCTATTATTGAACCCCATGTCAATGATGTTTGTGAAATGGAAAATGTTTCGATGGTGTTCATATTGATATGTAAATAGTTGTCAATTTAAAGGTAATACAAAGTTTTGGTATAGGGTCATGAATTTGGTTCAAATGAACATATTGGAAGCGTAGGCGATCCTACAATATTCAGTGATCGGTGTCGCTGTTGAAATCGAGTCTAAAGCGATGAAATTGTAAATAAACTATTTATGTTGTACAGCCCCCTCTCAAGGTCAATATATTAATTTAGCTATAAAACAATGTTCTTTGAATAAAATCGACCGATTTGCTATTACCGTTTTGAATATATATATATCACAACTACATATTCTGATATTTTCATAGTCGCAACTACCATCATATGGTCGTAGGTGCTATTTGAAATTTATCAAAATTTACCGGGAGCACCGGTAAATTTGTATATTCAATTTTTCTCGAAAGCAGAAGTGTTAGGGGCTAATTTTTTTAGTGCTTATAATACATCCATAGGGGCATCCAGATATATCAAAATTGTAAAGAATCACTATCCAGCCAATTTTCAAAATTTACCAAAACTTTGTAATACCTTTAAGACAGTTTATGAACAATACTAGAGAATTAGTACAGGTGGTCATTTTTTTGTCTTTTTTTTTTTGTCTGAAGGGCATTAATTCTTTGTAACGTGATATGAGTTAATACCCTTCTAGCTCCAAACAGGTGAGGTACAAAAAAAGAAACAAGAAAATAGATTAAGATATTGCTATAAATGCCCCATAATCATGCTCTTTATCATAACATTGATGTTACATGTCGAAATAATTGTCTGTCAACAAAGTTTTACTTAAATATGATAATTTGAAGGTCAAAACATTGCTTTTATTGCAAATATTGGGATATGTTTAGCAAAGGTCATGCCAGTCTTCATCCCACTTCACCTTTCTATTCTTGGTAGCTATCGAGGGTACGACTGTCGTAACAACCTGTTCTACACGCAAGCAGGTGAGGTAGTATTCCACGTTGCAGCAGCTGGTATTGTCTACAATCGTGAGACGCACTCACAGCGCTTCTTCCTTGGTCACACCGATGACATTCTCTGCTTATGTATTCATCCACGCAAGGACTATGTGGCAACTGGACAGGTAAGAATTTCATCTCATTTCATTTTATTCCATTTGTCATATAAAAACATACATAATTATAACACTGATATTCACCGATAAGTAAAGAACATACAAATAACATAACGAAAGATAAACACAAAATATGTTTATATATATATGAATGAGGAAACTGGCAAGAAAGAACAATAAAAGTCTTATGTGGTGCTGGTCCCTTACGGTATAATAAAGAATTTTACCCTATAACACTGAACACCTAACAACCAACACCTAATATCTAACACCTAAGAGGAATGCTAGACTTAAGCCGATTAGATCATTGGTAATTACTATGCGATTATGCAGATGAAATGACTGTAATGTGAGAATCAACTTTGGTTTGAAAGTGTTCTGGGGCAAACTTGTGATATGATTATAATCTTATTTCCAAAGGATAGCTGGTTATTACAATAAAAATTGTCAGTAGAATTTTAATTTGATTGAAGCTGAAAGGCAGGTAGATTAAATTAAAATTTGTTTGCCCTGAAACAAACAAAGTGTTTATTATAAAAATGCCTTTCCACTCTTATCATGGCTTCTCTCTAATGAATTCATGCAGAGGTTTATAGAAGTTTTTGTATGCTTTTGACCCTTGTTTGCTTGTATTCATCAGGTTGGCAGAGATCCATCAATCTATGTTTGGGAATGTGAGACTCTGAAACCACTCGCTCTCCTGAAGGGCCAGCATAAGAGAGGAGTTTGTGCGCTGGACTTTTCAGGTACTTGAAAACGGCTCTTCCATGATCTTTCAATTAAAATGTTAAAATCTTGAAGTAAGAACTTTGATCTGGATGTCTATTACCATGGTATTTATTTTTAAAAGTTAGGCTTTAGGAAAGCAAACTTGTAAGGAATGTGTGTAATATGAGCTGCAATGCATTATTATTTATGCTAAACTTCCATCATATGGTTTGGATGATATTGGGGTTAAGGTTGGTAGTCATTACGCTGAGAATTTGATTTGTTGTAATGTTCATGAAGACAATGTAGCTAAATGTTTATTCTTCTATAATGAGTCAACATAAACACCACTGAGTACCATTAGCTAACAATGACCATTCTGTTGAACTTTTAGCCATGATATAATGCATATCTTTGTTTCCTTTATTTCATCAGCCGATGGGAAGAAGCTAGCCAGCGTGGGTCTTGATGATAATCACTGCATTGTTGTGTGGGACTGGAAGAAAGGTGAAAAGCTAGCTACAACGAGAGGACATAAGGACAAAATCTTTGTCATCAAGTGGAATGCTCATGATAATGATAAACTGGTCACTGTTGGGATGAAACACATCAAATTCTGGACTCTAGCTGGTAAGAAATATGCACAAGTTCAGCTTTTATGTGTAGTATGAACACAGCCAAATTCATGTCTTTATATTTACAGGTTTTTTTTCTTGTTTTTGTTTCAAACAATATTACTCCCTCTACCCTGTAAGACAATTTTCAAAGATCCACAAATACATGAACCTTTCACCCCCCAGATCAGTTTTTTCCTTTTTCTCCATGGTGATTAAGTGTTGCAGCATCGTGAGCATGGAAAAAGTATCTCGCCTTCATTTCTAATATCATTCAATGTGACAGCATAATTCAACTTTCTTCCCACATAATAGCTAATCATGTATTTTAATTTATTTGATACATTGTTGCCATGTTGATGCTATGTTATGAAAATAGTGAAAAGTACATTAGATAATCATTTTGGTCCACATTTTTGGTTTAAGATATTATATTTAATGCAAGTAAATTAAAAAAAACCTGCATTGGATGGAAATATTTTGTTCAGTTCTGCAATTGTATTAAAATGCGATAGTTCATAGTCTTCCCTCCTCTCTCTCTCTCCCTCAGGTGGTGGCTTCACATCAAAACGTGGTACATTCGGTAACATCGGCAAACCTGACACCATGATGTGTGTTTGCTATGGACGGTCACCAGAGATGACGTATTCTGGAGGTGCCAATGGTAACATCTACCACTGGCAGGGGACCACCTTACTGAGGACGGTCAAAGCACATGATGGTCCATGCTTTGCCATGCATTCCTTGGACAAGGTAGCTTTATTCTACTACTCCTAATTTTGTATGTTGATAGTGTCATTTATATGGATTGGCATGAATCAATGTTAAAGTAAGCCACATTTGTTGTAAAATATAAAAAATCCATTCTAAGATATATGTGGAATTGATTACCACAAACCGTTTGTCATATTTTTTTTCCCCTTCTATTTTAGACGATAAAAATCATTGTCAATCATTGGCTCTAGATATGCTGTGTAGCTGTCTTCATATTTGCATTAAACTTCCATCCTCACGTAAGACAAAAGAAAATATTGTCAGAAACTCTACTTAGTACTTATGGAAAATTGATTTTGTTTGCATAGTAGTGAAAAGGGAGCGTGCCGTAAGCTATCAAATGTCTTGGCTCAAGCTCATTTGAATAAAGTGGCTCAAGAGGCAAAGGCATGACATTTTTCTCACTTACCACCAGTAACCATCTTGTCAATCAGCATCAAATGTAATATCTTTCTGCTATTCCAGGGCTTTGTGACAGGTGGAAAGGACGGCATGATTGCTCTTTGGGATGAAGCCTTTGAACAGTGTCTCAAGACCTACGCTGTCAAGAAGTCCAGTTTGTCCCACGACTCCCATGGTACTCTGACCAGTGACATGCCAGCCATTCGGTCAGTGGTGCTAGGACATGGACACATTCTAGCAGGGACCAAGAACAGTGAGGTCCTACAGATTGAGAAGAGTGGACCTATCAAACTACTCGTTCAGGTATGCTATCAATTTCCATGTATATGTTGGTAACAAGGAGTGTGAATATAATTCTAAGATATTTGAAGGTTAGTGGTGAGATGGAGAGGATGTAAATATCAATTTAAGAAAATGAAATGTTAGTGGTAGGATGTAAGAAAATATTTTGCCTATTGTATTTAGAGAAATTCTGGTGTTCTGCTCTTAATAGAGGTTGCACCCATAAAATGAAATGAGTCAGAGATATAAAAGATTTTTTTTTTAAATTCAAGCTTAGCTACTTGTCAAGTGTTACCAAGACCTTAACCATGTTTTTGCAGGACCCTAAATCCAACATCATGATCTTGAAAGAAAACTTTTTTTCAAAAAATAATAATTAAAGACTGCCCAAATGAGTTCTGTTTGTAAAGGAAGAGCAAGCTTCATGGGAGGGAAGTGTAATTTTGGAGACACTGTACTTGCATATTGTTGCTAGCAAGAAGGTTAGGCGTACACTTTGTTATTCACTTGTATTCTGTTAGTGGGAATCACATTCAGGAAAACATAGAATGTGCACGATTGATGAATTTCTTTATAAACATTTTGAAAAAAGTCATTTAAGGGTCACATGGAGAGTGGGGTATGGAGTTTAGCTGCTAACCTATCTAAAGACATAGCAGTAGTCAGTGATTGCCAGACATTAAGTCTATGGGACATTTAAAATATTCAAATTGAATATCATTTCATAACTTTCCTGGTGAATTCTAAACAATCGTCCTTTCAGGGTCACATGGAGAGTGAGGTATGGGGTCTAGCTGCTCACCCAACAAAGGACGTCATATCAACGGTTAGCGATGACCAGACGTTACGTCTGTGGGACATTGGAGAAGCCAACAAGCTGCTGAATGTTAGGAAGCTGAAGACAGGTGCACGGTGTTGTGATTTCTCTCCTGATGGCAAGGGATTGGCTGTAGGATACAAAGATGGTGAGTCTTCAAGCTCCTCGGACTTTCTCAAAGTAGGCTATGTTAGAAGTATGAGTAGCAACATGAATATTTTTCATCCATGATCATTTATCGTTCAGAGACTGATCAGTATTAAAGATGCATCTTATTCACTCCGCATTCTTCAAATGTGTTGGCATAGTGGACAGATATGTTCTCATACCATCCTTTCAAGCTAAACATTTAACATTCTATTTTCATAAAACTAAAATAAATATATTTTTATAAAGTTGATAATTATTCAAACTTCGCCTGAAGAAGTTATATTTGTTTTTGTCCTTCTTGGTATGTTACAGGCAGTTTTTCTGTGCTGGACAGTGAGACACTCAATGACATTGCAGGATTCCATCATAGAAAAGAAGAAATCTCTGACGTCAAATTCTCACCTAGTAAGTATACAAAGTAAAGATGATAACAATATGTACATTTTGTTAACTCCAGTTTCAGAAGTATTCATTTCTTTATTTATTGGTTCAATCATTAAAGGTAATACAAAGTTTTGGGAAATTTTGAAAATTGGCTGGATAGTGATCCTTTACAACTTGGAAATATTTGGATGCCCCTGTGGTTGCATTATAAGCACTAGAAAATTTAGCCCCTAAAACACTTCTTCTTTCGAGAAAAATTGAATATCTAAATTTACAGGTGCTCCCGGTAAATTTTGATAATTTTCAAACAATGCCTATGGCCATACAATGGTAGCTGCGACCATGAAAATCTCTGAATATGTAGTTGTGATATATAATTTCCAAATGGGAATAGCCAATCGATCGATTTTAATCAAGAAATATTGTTTTATAGCTAAATTAATATCTTAACCTTGAGAGGGAGCTATACAACAAAAAGAGTTTATTGTTTACCATTTCATCACTTTAGACTTGATTTCAACCGCAACAATGATCACTGAATATTGTAGGATCACATATGTTTCCAATATAACTTTGTAATACCTTTAACCAATCACCATTGATTCAACGCATAAACATTCTTTGTGCATAGCTTCTTCTTAGAATAGCAATGAGAAATTGTAACTAACCCCAACATCATTTTACCAAGGTCATATTCCTATTTAGCCAATTGACTACTGGATTATATGAGTTCCATATGATATGCTTAACAGGTACCACCTGGTTCCCAGAGGCGATGGCTGAATTCAGCAAGTTTTGAAATTGCAAATTTGTGTGCCATGTCATTTGGGTGCTCGATTAATCCATTCCCTGTTTAAAAATTGGTGCTACCTTGTTCTTAGTCTCAAATTTTCTTCATTGACCATATTGTGTATAATTTCAACAGATCCTGGAAAATACCTAGCAGTAGCATCTCATGACAACTATGTGGACATCTACAATGTAATGAACAGCAAGAGAGTTGGTACATGTAAAGGATCATCCAGTTATATTACACATACAGATTGGGATCGATCAGGTAGGTTTATCATCAGCTGTTGAAACAAAAATGGTTGTAGAAAATTAGGCGAAAGACCTGTAAAAAAACAAAACCCTGTGACAGGAAAAGCAGCATCCTGAATGCATTTAGATCGTTGCAAAAGCATCATTTTGTTGTACAGAGATAGAGCCATGATATTAGGATCCAGAGCTAGTAAACATATGTACTACCTCAATTAGGCTAAGTAATACCAAATCTTTTAGTCATAAAGTAGGAGTAAAATCTAAGGTGCAATGCAATGCCACCAGCTACAATGAGCCATCGTGCTTTCCATTTGTGACTTTTCTTGAATAGTTGATGATAGTCGACCCATATAAATCATCAAGCTCAGTAATGCTACAACCAAACATTGTCTACTATCAGCCACATTTGTGTTTAACATCTCAGCAGCTGCAGAAGAATCCTTGAAAAGCTCATTGATAAAAAGTGATTCTTCATTTCCTGTAAACTCTGTTCCACCTTTCATCCTTCACTCAACAGGCAAACTTGTCATGTCCAATTCCGGTGCCAAGGAACAGCTGTTCTTTGAAGCCCCAAGAGGCAGGAGGCATGCCATACGTAACATGGAGATAGAGCGTCTCAACTGGGCATCGTGGACCTGTGTCCTGGGACATACCTGTACAGGTATCTGGCCTGCCAAGAGTGATGTGACGGACGTCAACGCTGGCTGCTTGTCACATGATGGCACAACTTTTGCAACGGGAGATGACTTTGGATTTGTCAAGCTGTTCCAGTGGCCTGTTGCGGTAGGTTTATGGATCTTTTAAGGTACTATGTATAATTACAAATTGACCCCTCCCCCCTCCCCACCAACAAAAAAAAAGTTGATGTGTTCGAATTATGCTTAAATGTAACTTAAAAGGCATTGGAAACTTGCATAAGGTTTAACACAACATACATATTGATCATATGCACAAAGTAAATATTTGCTGTAATAATCTACAAATATATTTGCTTTTCTTGATTTCCATGCTATTTATTAGTCATTAGATGCAACTAGTGTCAAAGTCCATCCCCATTATTAAATGTTTCCTGTAGAAGTGGCGTTTGAATGGCGTTTGAATATTTCATATTTGGGCTTGCCAATACTATTCCTCATACTCGCAATATCTGTCACATGTTTTACTGAATCCATTGAACAAATCCAACCCCATTTTTCTATCTTTTTCACCAGGGGAAGAATGCCAAGTTCAAGAAGTACGTCGGACACAGCGCCCATGTGACCAACGTCAGGTGGTCACATGATGATAGGAAGCTGATATCTGTAGGTGGGGCTGATACCTCTATCATGGTATGGTCACGAGATGGCGCTGGTGAAAGCAATGCGTGTGGAGATAGCGATGACTCAGACACAGACTCAGAGGAAGAAGGTGATTTATACTATAGATAGATGTTACTCATGACTTGATACAAAGTAATCTTAATTTAAAATTCATGAATTTAACAAATGCACAAGATATGAAAATGAGATATATTATGAATGCCATTATAATGTAACTAGTCCAAGTTTCTCTGCTAAAATGACTTGCACATTGTTATTCCTATTTGCCACTTACTATGCATGTCAGTCTTACCTTCTATGCCTATGACCACCGCTCTGGGGCGATATTGTGCAATTTTCTAAAATGTTTCTAGTTTCAGAAAAGCAATTTATTTTTTTCTCTCTCTCTGAAGCAGAAAGAGGTATATACCGTATATTGTGAAGTTTATTACATTTACCTCGTAAGAAATTTCCAATTTATCAATGAAACAAGGAATTGAAATATATATACTTTACTCTTGAATTTTTTTCTTGATAAGTTTTCACCAAAAAACTTAGTGACATAGAATGGGTAATAATTAAAATGATCTTCCTCATCAACAGACCTTTCCCAATTACTTTGAATGGTAGAAACATAACTTCTAAGGCAAAGTTTGTTTATCTCTCTCTCTCTCTCTCTCTGTCTCCCAGGTTATGACAGTGATGTTCAGCGTGAGAAGGACATGGACTATTCAGCCAAGACATACTCAGGTCCAAAGAGAGATATGGCTGGAGTTAAGCCTCATCTAAGGGATGTAGAGGATGATGATGCGTAAGTACAGCTTATAAGAGAAGATGATTGTGGTACAGCTCACTGCACATCTCTTTATATTAAGATTGACAACATAGAAATTTATCTTTGATCCAAAATGAATGCTTTGTCAAACAGAGAAAGGAAAATATGTCCGCACTGGAAGTCAAACATAGAGGGAGTTTTTACCTTTACAATTCAGGAGTTCCAGATGAACCTCATTTAATATCAAGTCAACAGGCCGCTACACATATCACTTTTGATTTTGTTTAGGTTCTTAAAGTGACTCTGTAACATTGCCTCAGATTCTGAAACAAAATCATGGATTTAGCTCCTGCTGCAATCACAATTTTAAACCCTTAGGTCAGTCAGGAATCCCATGACTTTTACAAGCCAACCCCTGTCTGATTATCAAGATATTTATGATCGAAATTGAAATTTCATTTTGCATTTTCTTTAACGGTTTTTATAACACTCCAGTCTATTGGGGAAAATGAGTAATGGTAAAAATTCATGAGGCACTTTATGATCATTTTGAAGCGCAATATTTTTGGGCTTGAATATTACACCATGCATTTCGTATTTAACATTGTTAAACAATGCCTTTAAGATATTACTGTGAAACAGTCCATTTATTTCCCTTCTCCATTAAAAAACAATATTGTAGGTCATGTCTTTTTATTTTGTTACAGGCCTAGTTGCAGCAGGGCTGCAGCCAGACCCACTAAAGTTAAGAAGAGTGATGTAGATACAGGCAAGAGGAAAAGGCCTGGCCAAGTAGAGGTAAGTGTGATTGTCTCAAAAGTATTTTAAGGTTTATATATTAATATTTGCAAAGCGTGGCAGTAGGCAATTTTTGTTGATGGCTTTTAACTTACAAGAGATTTGCATTACTCTTGAACACTGTAAAGCATGAGACATTCTACTCAAAATGCCGTTTACCAAAATCAAATTGTATCCAACAGGCAAAACTTTGTGCATGTCTGTCATATCAGAATTGATAAGTGAATAAAGTTGCATTGTAAGAAATCGTTCATGGTTTTTAGAATCAAGAAGTATTGAAGTTATTAATAATTTAAATGTAAAATAATAATAATAATGATAATATTGGATATTTATTTAGCGCACATATCCACCCTGCAAGGTGCTCAAAGCGCTCCAATATTACCCAGGTCTGCTAGGCTACCGATTTTGGTGCTCACAGCATTCAAGAAATTCCTTCCTACAGGTCCCCATTTACTTCACCTGGGTGGAGTGTGACAAATTTAGATCAATGTCATGCCAAAGGATGTTAGTGCTGCGTTGGGATGATTATGTATATTGTGACATTTGTTCTGTTTACTTGACTAAACTTTAAAGCTGTAAACTCATAATTCTATTTCTCTTAAGTTGATTTATTGAATTGTTACTTTCTAACTTTTGTATGTTTTGCAGGAGTTAGTACTGCAACACATCCATGGCTATCGAGGCTATGACTGTAGAAACAACCTCCATTACCTCAATGACGGTGCTGATATCGTCTATCATGCCGCTGGAGCTGGCATCGTCCAAAACCTTGAAAAAGGTCAGTCATCCTAGGTCATGTGCTCACATATAGCATTGTTCTTTGTTATTTATACTATGGCTGGATGGTACATGTATTTTCATTCTTTGTCATTTGATTAAAACAGAGATCATATATTTGCATTTGGGTACATCAAAAGGTAGGCCAATAAGGGGTAATTCTGATCAGCACAAAAGTACAAACCTTGATGTATGTACAAAATCAAATGTTATTTCTAGAAAGCAATGAAAAGTTTCAATGTATGATTTGATCCAAGGTAAAAACTTTATTACTTCAAGTGATATGAGTGATTTATTTTAATGGAAGTAAATGAATTCCTGATATTGAACTGTTGCTTTAGTGATAGAAACATCTGAAATTATTCCCATTCAAAATTGCAAACAAAATTTGCTATACAGGTGAGGGGCAATGTGTCACTACTTTATTGATGTGTAGGTAGACCTTCAACCTTTGACCTACTACCTTTGACCCACAGGGAGCCAGAGCTTTTACCTTGAGCACACGGATGACATCATATGCCTGACTGTCAATCAGCACCCCAAGTATCCCAACGTTATAGCGACCGGTCAGATCGGTGAGACACCAGCGGTCAATGTCTGGAATGCAGAGACCAAGGAGACATTGTCACTCATACGAGGGTTCCACACCAAGGGTGTTTGCTCAGTGAACTTCAGTGCGTCCGGGAAGCTATTGCTGACCGTTGGCATCGACCAGAACCATTCATTTGCCGTATGGAGATGGCAAGATGGTAAGAGGAGTTCATTCTTAGAATAGATTCTTTGATCATTCTTTGAGATACGTACATAGCTGATACTGTCATCCCGTTGTCTTCTGTGAATTATATATATTATGATGAAAGAAGTCAATTTATAAAAATAATTCTAAATTTAAGAGTAGGTCTCTCCCCCACAACAAAGTCTCCTCGATGATGGTATTGAATATACATTGCAATGAGGTTAAAAGCTGTATTTATAGACTTTATATCATTGATTTGACTAGCCTTGAATGGAGAGACTCTAAACATTAGTTATGAAGAATGTAAGAGTATCAAGAGCATTGATGGGTGATAGAAGGTCATGGATAGTGACACTAATTTCTGACCTCTGATTTTTCTTGATAGGTTCTAGGATTGCAAGTGGTGTTGGACACACGAAGCGAATCTTCATGGCCGAATTCAGACCGGACTCTGATTCTCAGTTTGTGACGGTTGGTGTGAAGCACGTCAAGTTCTGGACGGTAGCAGGTAGTCAGCTCCTAGGCAAGAGAGGTCTACTCAAGAGATCTGGTACCAATCCACAGGAATCCAAGATGCAAACCATGCTCTCAATAGCATTCGGAGCAGTAAGTCATTTTAATGAGATACTGAAGATCTGAATGTTTTTCTTCATTTCTTGTCTGTTTTGTATCCTTAATTTATCTGTAATCATGCATATTTCATGTCATTGCTTCTTCTTTTCTTTCCTCAGTACACTATTTTTTGTGAAAGTCATAAAGTTTGAATTTTTGTACATTCAAAGTGTAGTGCCAGTTTACATAAGAATATTGATCGTTTGTTAAAAAATATCTAGAAGCCAGGAATATTCAATGATTGAATAAGTTCCAACATGTGTGTGTGTGTGTGTGTATTTGGGTTTTTACTGACGTGTATCAATCAGATATGATTATTTACGTCTGGGGACCGACTTTTAACGTCACCATCCGAAAGACGTGACTCAGTTTCGAACCTGCGTCCTCGGCTGAATCAGTTTGTAACTTCCACTGTAAGCTGGATTATAGGCGAACGCCACAACGCCTAGTTGACCTGCAATAGCCTAGCCTTTAGATTGAACTTGATACTGATTTATTTGTCAACCGGAAAGAATTGCAAAGGTCTTAATCCTATTACATTTGGTTTGAAATGTGGTTTGTATAACTCAAACAAAAAGGATCCTTCACAGTCATAAAAAGGAAAAAACACAAAAAACCATTGTATCATACCATATATGTATTGTTTGATTACTTTCATAACTAGAATGAGACCACATTTACTGGATCTATGTGCGGTGATGTGTATGTATGGAAGGGTCATATGTTAGCTAAAGTGGTTACCAGAGCTCACCAAGATGCCGTATTCACTCTCTACACAACCCTCAAAGATGGACTCATCGTCTCAGGAGGCAAGGAGAAGGCGTAAGTCATCCCACTTTGAAAATGCAATGGCATTAACTCATTGATGTGCACAATCTTACCCATTATCCATTCCAAATTGCCTCCATTTGTCATCTCAGCTTAATCATGGTTGTGGAAATGTCATATTATAGAATTGAAATTCATTCGAAACTAGGTTCTCCTCATTAGTTTTATCAAAATCAATGAAGAATTTTTTTCACCCTAGGAGATATTTTCCTTCAAAAGTCAGGAAAAATGTATTTGAACCTATTTTGGTTGAAGTATCCCCCTTTTCAAGTGTTTGCTGTGACTCTGTTTGTTATAGGTAAATACGTATTGTCTTTTAGCAGACCAAAAGACACTAGAAGTCATGAGTTATTGCTCTTCCAGCTCTAGACACAGGATATGATTTTTTTTTTTACTGTTGTTGTTGTTGAATTTTTACTTCTCTTTTCTTTTGAAGTAATTTGAGCCCTTATCCCACTTGGCATTCATGCATGTTGCATCCTACAGTTGACAGAGTGTAATGTAGCGAACTTTTCATATTTGGGTATATTATTATGCAGTGTTAGCATTGATATAGGCAATGAAGTTTGTGTTTGTTGTTTCCCATGTAGTGGACGTAGTGGAAATGCAGTGAAGTTATGGGACCAGGACATGAAGAAATGTAAAAACTTCCAGCTCAGCACAGGCAACAAGATGGATGTCGTCAAGAGTGTCTGTAGGGCCAAGGTCAGTTCCAACTCCGAGAGGTTCCTTCAAATTACTTGCAGTGATGCTTGTTTTCCAATATTTGTTTCTCATTCTTGCATTTTGTCATGATGCATATTAACGAAAGTATGTTGCATTTTATTTTTGTCAGCAGTCCAAAGATAGATTGAAATGCCAAGAGTTAAGACTTTTTTGAACTAATAGTTATGAATTCTGCACTAGTCTTTAAGCCAAAAAGAACATAAAAGTGTAGTTAAAATTGTCATACATAAGAAAAATTGATAGAGAGAATTGATTATTTGTTGTTTGATGGTTTAAGCAATGAACAGATTCTAAATGTTTACAACATGGTCATATTTCCAGAATTTCAAGAATCTGTAAATAAATGCCTCAATGCAAATGCTAAAGTTAGATGCAGAAAATGTTACAGTATTCAAGCTCGATAATTCATTGTTCAATCTAGAGCTGACACATATTGTTTCTCTTGATAGGGAAAGATCCTGATAGGTACTAAGGAGAGTGAGATATTTGAGATTGACGAGAAGAAAGGAACAGTAACCAATCTAAGCCAGGGTCACGGTGAAGGGGAGCTATGGGGTCTCGCTGCTCACCCTACCAAAGAAGTATTTGCATCAGCTAGTGATGATACAACCATTAGAATATGGGATGTTCCTAACAAGGTAAGACAACTGATTGAGGAAGACCCATCCATCTCTCTCTCTCTCTCCCTCCCTATCTCTTTCTCTCTCGTTCTCTCTTTCTCTCCTCATTTCTTTATCTCTCTCTCTCTCTCTCTAATTCTCTCTCTCCCTCCCTCTCTGTCTCTCTCATACACACTCACACTCTTCTCTGCCCCTTTCCCTTCTTCCTCAACCCATCTTATCTTCATTTTCCTTATTTCCACTCTTTAGCCTTTTCCCCTTGACTTTCTTACTCTACATGTATTTTTCTTCATGGAGGCAGAGACTGTTGGCCATCCCAATCACATTTCTTCTGTAAACAATACAGATGGAACCTCATACCATAATCCTCAAAGGCATCGTTTAACAATGTTAAATCTGAGATGCACAGCCCTACATGTTATCAGTGTGCGTGATATGGTGTAATATTGAAGCCCTAAAAAATTGCGCTTCAAAATGATCAAGAAGTGCCTCAAAAAAGTAAAAAATCTTTGAGTGACCAGTTTTACCATACTCCTTTTCCCCAACAGACTAGTTTTTATGAAAACCGTTAGGAAAACGCAAATTTGGTTTCGATTTCCGATCATAAATATCTCAATAATCAGACAGGCGATCGGCTTGCAAAAGTCATGGGGTTCCTGACTGACCTAAAGGTTTATAATTATCATTGCAGCATGAGCTAAATCCAGGATTTTTTTTCAGAATCTGAGACAAAGTTACCCAGTTGAATTTAAAAATAAATCAATATCAATCACCATAATGATAGATGCATTTACGATACAAGCATACTCTCCTCTGCTTGATATAAATATATCTTTTATTTCACATTGGTTAAGAGTGGTATATGTAGATTATTGTCTGGCCAAAGGAATTTGAACCGCTGGCCATGGCACATCTAAAACACATCCACGACACATGTTCTTTTTAGATCTTCATCGATTCTCTTGGTGATGATGATCCACAGCACTCTTCTTGCTCTGATTATGGTATGATTTGATTTCTCACTGAATGTAGAAAATGTTGAACAAGGCAGTGATTGGGACTGCAGCCAGGTCTATAACCTACAGTCCTGATGGTGAGAAGCTAGCTGTTGGTCTCAAGAATGGAGAGTTTGTCATCTTAACTGTAGCTACTCTAGAGATGTGGGGACGCAAGAGAGACAGGAGCAAAGCTATACAGGACATCAAGTAAGAATAACTCTGCTGTCAGACTGTTATGTTGGAGCAATTTTAAAATTCTGCATTTGTCATTTGTCTATTATCCACAAAGGTGTGTGAAATTGTTATTTGGGATGAAATGTATACTTGTCATTACTCATATAACATATCTAGTGTCTTTCTTTTATATGTGTAGTTGTAGCCCCTGTTCGAGTCATTTCTTCTTGGCAGTGACATGTTTTTTGTACATGAATATTTTCTACTTGTCATAACTGTATGAATTAACAGCCTGTCCTGATAAGACTCATTAACATATGAAGCTGAAGGATCTTGAAAGAGCTTCATATTTAGTACTTAGATACGTGTCCATTGATAATTCTTTTTATATACCTCACTTAAGTAATCCAGCAATCTGATTGGTCGAAATTGCATTCATAAACTTTAACTGTTCCCGAAAATTCCCGGTAACCATGGTTAAAAAACAGTTCAAAATCCCAATAACCATGGTTATTGGGAAAATAGGTCAGTCTCCATGGTTACCCCATAGGTTTACATGTTAAAAAATGGTCTGAGCGATCGAGGATACCGTACGTGTGCGAAGAATTGGTCGGTAATTTCAATACAATTGAATCTCGATCGATCTTACCGACAATTTTATCATGCATTGTTGACATGAAGACGAAAATAAACTTCCAAAAACAAAAAAAACAACATCTGCCGATAGATCTTGATCTAAGTTCGTGCCAATATGCATTGCAAAAGTAAAAGAAGGGCCCGTTTAATGGAGCAGCGGCGAAGCATTGACCACGCGAAGCCGTTTTCAATTCATTTTAATGTATATATTAAAGAAAACTACTGTACATGGTGACAGTGCGCGCTGGCCGAGCGGTTTGAGGCGCTGACTGTAGTTACATCACCTTTTGTACGCAAGAGTTCGAATCCCATCTTCGACAAAAGTTTTTTTTTTTTTTTTCTTTTTTTTTCTTTTTTTTTTGGCATATAAAAGTATTAATGACTGCTTTAATATTCGAGAAATAGTATAGTATTAATGACTGCTTTGAGAGAAATAGTTGTTTTATTACGCTCAAGGGAAGGTTAGAATTGTGCTATTCCCCGAGGCTTGCCGAGGGGAATAGCCCAATTCTAACCTTCCCGAGAGCGTATGAAAACAACTATTTCTCGAATATTAAAGCAGTCATTAATACTTTTATATGCCGAAAAAAAATAGACTAAAAAATGAAAAATTAAAAATATTTATCAGTTTTGTCGAAGACGGGACTCGAACTCTTGCGTACAACAAGAGGTGTACCGAAAACCAACGCTTAGACCACTCGGCTATGGCCCGCCGTTAACATGCTTAGCAGTTTTCTCCAATATATACATTAAAATGGATTGAAACCGGCTTCGCGTGTGATGAATGCTTCGCAAAAGCTCCATATACGGACTCTTCTTTTACTTTTGCAATGCATATTGGCACGAACTTAGATCAAGATCTATCGGCAGATGTTGTTTTTAATACTAGCAGTCATTAATACTTTTATATGCCGAAAAAAATAGACTAAAAAATGAAAAATTAAAAATATTTATCATTTTTGTCGAAGACGGGATTCGAACTCTTGCGTACAACAAAAGGTGTACCGGAAACCAACGCTTAGACCACTCGGCTATGGCCCGCCGTTAACATGCTTTGCAGTTTTCTCCAATATATACATTAAAATGGATTGAAACCGGCTTCGCGTGTGATGAATGCTTCGCAAAAGCTCCATATACGGACTCTTCTTTTACTTTTGCAATGCATATTGGCACGAACTTAGATCAAGATCTATCGGCAGATGTTGTTTTTTTGTTTTTGGAAGTTTATTTTCGTCTTCATGTCAACAATGCAAGACAAAATTGTCGGTAAGATCGATCGAGATTCAATTGTATTGAAATTACCGACCAATCCTTCGCACACATACGGCATCCTCCATCACTCAAACCATTTTTTAACATGTAAACCTATGGGGTAACCATGGACGCTGACCAACTTTTTTTAATAACCATGGTTATTAAAAATATTGAAATGTTTTATGCATGGTTACCGAGAATTTTACAGGAACAGTTGAAGTTTATGAATGCAATTCGACCAATCAGATGGCTGGATTTCTTAAGTGAGGTATATAATTGTTTTTATACGCTCTCGGGAAGGTTACAATTGTGCTATTCCCCTCGGCACGCCTCGGGTAATAGCACAATTCTAACCTTCCCTTGAGCGTATAAAAACAACTATTTCTCTCAAAGCAGTCATTAATACTATATTATGAGAATGATGAAGCAAGTTTTCCATGGTTTAGTACATGAAAAATAGTTAATATATACCAAACTTGCGGTTACATCCAGTTTTAAAGCAGTGTGTGGAAAAGCCACTATATCTTTTATAATTGCTATCATAAATAATAATAATAAAACAAGGTCATTTTAACATTGACTTTCATGTATTTTTCAATTAATTTTCCCCTGATTTCATGTTTCCTTCACAGGTTCAGCCCAGACTCTAAATACCTTGCTGTAGCATCTGACGATGGCAGCGTTGATTTCTATGACATCAGCGCAGGGTCTGCACTATCAAGGGCTGGCTTCTGTAAAGGTATCTCAAGCTTCGTAGTGCAAATAGACTTCTCAGCTGACAGCAAATATATACAGGTATGTAGCATAGCTATGGCACTCTACCTATGTACCGTAACTTATGTAGGCATTTATAAGAGTGGCAAGTGGAGACGAAAGGTGGGCATAATTACTGTTCAAATCCTTTATGCTTATGTCATTTCATTTTGTTGTTTTTGTTGTTTTCCTTTTTTGTTTTTGTTTGTTTTTGTTTTTGTTTTTGTTTTTAATAGCAGTCTACCATGTCATGTGTTGCATTTCATATAATGTCAGAGGAAAATATTTCAGAAGATTTTGTCATGTTATATAGTGCATTTAGGGTTGTAGTAGCTGATTTCATGTTTACAGAGAATTTATTTATTTTATGTGATTTTTAATGGTATATAATGGTTTTGGAGACAGTGTACCAAGTCACTTGTGAACAAGGGTTTAATTGTCCTGATATTGCCCAATCAAAATCCAATGATATTCTCTGTTTTGTGAGAGAAGCTTTCTCATTGGTTAATGTAGAAGATTATGTTTTTGACCCAGAAACTTTTTGTCAGATGATTAACTCGTTGAATACTAAGTCTATGCAAAATGCATGAGTTAATGAAATTAAATCATGTTCAACAGATTAAGACTTCATGGTCACAGAAACCATAGATGCTAATGAATATTTTGGCACAATGCAGCAAATGGAATTAACGACGAGTGGTTAAATCAAGAAATAACTGAGAAAGAGGCTCTACAAGAGTCTTCATGTAGCCTTACAAATATTATGTCATCACTATATTTATACATACAATGCTCACAATATCAAACACACTTCTTGAAGAAATCCTTTGTGAAGCACCTGAAAACTCGACCTTTCATCAACATTCAATTAATTGGGAAAGCAGAGCTATGGCCAATCCGGTTAAGCCTTTGTACGTGATGACCTATTCTCTTAGTTAAATTGAATTTTGCCTGAAGGTCGAGTCTTTTAGTGCTTCGCAAAGGATTTCTTCAGGAAGTGCGTTTGATGTTGTGAGCATTGTATATATATATATATATATATATATATATATATATAGTGATGACACAATATTCGTAAAGCTATATGAAGACTCTTGTAGTGCTTCATTAGGAGTGTCGCGGCCGAGTGGTTTCAGGCGCTCGACTGGAAATGCAAAGGTTGAGGGTTCGAATCCCGACACGGCACTAATATCCTTTGGCAAGATATTAACCTGCACTTGCTACTCTCCACCCAGTTGTTAAATGGGTATCCGACTATCCGGTAGGATGCGACGGTCATTGTTGGTCAAACAGTTTTTGAGCGTCAAGTAATGCCTGGCTGGAATGCTCCCTGGGGAGTGGAGATGTGTGCGGGCAAGTATTGAATCCAATGACCAGGGTAATGGTATATCTGTAAAGCGCTTTAAGAAATTTGTATTAAGCGCTTTATAAAAGTGGAATATTATTATTCTTTCTCAGTTATTTCTTGATTTAATCACTTGTCAGTTTGACATTGATGGACCCTATTTCTGTCAATCAGCGTGGGAGATTCTTTGTGCTCTGTTCTGTTGCTTTTTTATGGTATTGATGACCTTTAGCTATTTTCATTATCAGGATTCACTCTCATATGATTATTTGCTCCATATTCTAAATCTGTATTTGTTTTAGCCTTGTACCGTACTCATTATTTTTCATTCGCATAATGAACTAGGTTATAAAGATTCTTTATTTCTTTGATTCAAGTGTGAATTCATTCTAGGTGTATTTTTGGTCTCAGGAAAAGGAAATAACATTTGTAATTTTTAAAAGTACTACCGGTGACTGATTTTATTATTAAGATGTATCAAATATACAGCAAAATAGTCCTGTATAAGTAAAAGAAATGCATGACAGAGCTCTCAAATAGAATAAAGTAAGACAATTCAACCTAGCTGTTTCAAATCGTTTAAAAAAACTCAAAATAAACATATATTACGTCCCATAAAAAAAATAAAATTGTTTACTCTCAAACTGATTTCTTTGCTTAATGGGGAGGGGGGGGTGCTCTTCCTGAGAAATATTAACATTTGTTATCTATTCTTGTTTATCAGATTATTGTACAGACTCCTTATCTAGTTTTTTTTTAAATGTATTTATCCTGAAATTTGAATAGTAAATTTATGCTCTATGATCCCCTCCCCCTCCCCCCATCCCATGGACCATTCTCCATTAAAAAAAAGTATATAAAAAATATTAACTTATATTTTGGAGTAATTGTCTTGATTGATAGTGTAAAATGGAATAAAACTGCTGACTACTTAAACCAAAGTGCAAGAAATTGAAATCACAGCATTTTAGTGATATCAATGTTAAAGAGCTATTATAGTTTTAAAAAATCAGCTGCCAAGATACATGCCTGGCAGAGCAAGTGTTTTAGCAGTTTCTTATTAATCTTTTATTTTCTGTACAGGCAATTCAGCCCCTTGCTTCTGGGTCGAACTTTGTTATGAGGCAATCATTATTTAGGAAAACCATTTTCTAGGCTTTTACAAGTTTTATGACTTTGGGCCATAGTCCATGGAAATGCCAATGTGATGAATGTATCACTCCCATTATTCATTGTGTATGATATTAAAGTTGTATTTTTTAGCAGATTGGCACTGAAAACTCTAAACGCAAACTTATTCATCATCATATTATCATTATCATCAAAATAATGATGGTCATGATGATCTAATGATAGTGATGAGGATGATAATGGCGATGTTGATGAAGAAAAATATGATGGTTATGATGATAACAACATCAACAACAAAAACAACAACTTTGTCAATTTTCCATGGTATATATATATATATATATATATATGTTCACTGATTTATTTGATATCTGTTGCTTTGTATACACCAGATTGGTACGGGGACCTATCAACGCCTAGTCTACACAGTGCCTAGTGGTAAACCAGTAACAGAGAACAGTGATATTCAGAACATCACGTGGGCTACATGGACAAGGTATGTCCGTCCATTAATGTGTCTGGGAAATTAGTTAATATATGGAGACTGGAAATGTATTATTTTTTATCCTGATGTATGTTGCCAGACGAATAATGAAATAAATAGAAAGGGAGTCTAAGAAGATCATAATGTTCACCCATGTTTGTGAACATGTATCCCATTCTTGCCCCTTTCAATGCAAAGAGGAAGTCCACTTTTTAAATTGCTATTTAGAAATGTAATTAAAGATGAGAAAAGGACAATTTTTGTATTGCTAAAGTAAGACATAGTGTAACGCTTGAAAGGGGCTAAGAATAACTAAATATTTCTTAAGAAATTGTATAAATGTATTTGAACCAACCTGCCATTCATTGCTAACAGAGACCATTTTCTTTCATTTAAATATGTAGATGGTACTGTTTGTCAAGTTAGCTACTAATGTCTACAGAGGAAACAAAAAGCCAGTTCAGAGATACAATTTACATATAAGAGACAAATTTCATTTGTACTTAATTGTACTTAACCAGCTGAATAAAAAACAGTCAAGTGATAATGAAAATTATGTTATCATTCATTTGTGCACCAACGCTGCATTTTAGGGTATGCAGATTGAATTATTTTGTTCGAAAGTGGGACAAAAGCTATTCATGAAGCATCTCATCAGATTGTTTATGAACCACCAATGCTGCATTCCACATGGGGTACACAGGTGTAGTCATATATTTTTTTTTCTTCAAATGAGGAAACAAAAAGTTATTCATGAAGCACCTCCATCATTTTGAGAATGATTATTCTAAAATGCAAAGAAAGAGACATTACAAACACCCTGTTTGAATCTCTGTGAATATTTAGGGTCATTTACACCACATGCTGACTACAAACTAGTCTGTTAGTTCTAGCTGGGTATCTTTGCCTGTATCAGTTCTTATCAGAATGTTTGACTTTGACTTTGCACTTTATTTTATTGCCAGTGTTGTTGGTCAAGAAGTGGTAGGAGTTTGGCCAAGGAATGCAGACAAGGCTGATGTGAACTGTTCCATTGTCAGTGGACAAGGCAATGCAATAGCAACAGGAGATGACTTTGGCTTTGTGAAGCTTTTCAATTTCCCATGTGCAGAGCTATATGTGAGTTTTGAGGTTATTCATATACTTTGAATATTACTCAATACTGGGAGCTATGAATTTTTAGGCTCCTAGTGCATGTGCATAAGAATAAATGAACAAGAAGTTTTCAATATAATAACTTATTTTTATTTACTATTTATTCATTTTTGTCCGCACATGCTTGATCTGTGAACACGTAAAGAAAGTGAAATAATTGAGTATGCAAATTTTGTGGAAACTGCATTAAAGGTACAACTGCTGTAGCACTGAGGGTTGTTTCTTGGGGGATTACTAATCTAATTAATGTTTAATATTTTAAGGGGCATACTACCCTTGGAAAATTATTATTTGGTGCAGTAAAAAGGCAATTATCATTTGTTGGTTCTTTTGTTATCCATATCCATTGAATAGTAATGATTTGAATGTAATTTATCATTCAGATGAAGGCTTTTTCCCCCTTTAGTGTGATTTGGTTTCTTTGACAGATTTAATATGATATCTAATTCCAGGCACCTCACAAGAAGTATGTTGGTCATTCTGCTCATGTGACCAATGTGAAGTTCATCTATGATGACAGACATCTTATCTCCACTGGAGGTGATGATTGCTGGTAAGTTCTTTCAACTCGTTACAGATTAATCCATTTAAGGTGTGATGTTGTTTTAATGTGCAAGTCCTTGATGGTAGCTTTAAACCTTTCAACTGGCATAACATTGAAATCATTGCTAAGATGTGTGAGCTGTCATAAAGTGAAAAATTGCTGTACAACCCCCCCCCCCCCCCCCCAAAAAAAAAAAAAAAAAAAAAAATCATCATCATCATCCTTAAGAATTTGTTAAATGTTTTTTATGTAAGTGAAGTAGATACCGGTAGTGATGACTCAGCAGATTATGCACCAAGTCACAAACATGTATATAATTTTTGAAAAAAAGTTACTGGGACAAATTATTTATTCTGGTTTCTTTGTAATTGCTAATAATCATAAGAGAAATACTGTCAAAATTTATATTTTACAATTCATTCATCTATTTTGAATTCCAAGAAACATAATCTTATTTTGTCCAAAGATATGAGATCTACTATTATGCCTTGGAAACATATGTTACAATGGAAGGGTTAGGGTCAATATTTGATCATAGACCATGACTGATAGACTTGAGAATTAAAACAAAACCTAGAAGAAGAATGTGTTATATACTGATATTCAAATATACAATGTCATCCAATCTGAGACTGGAAACTAACATTATCTAATTTCTCTCATTTGCTTGATTCCATAGCTTGTTTGTGTGGAAATGTAGGTGAGATTTGATCACCAGTCTTGAGAAGCACGCTTCAATGCAGGGTTTCACGCCACATTCTGAAAGTCACTTTCAAAGGATGGGACATTATGACCAGGATTTCTTTCCATATTTTGTATATCAGAGATACCATGAACAGTTCAGTGATATTCAAGTCTCTATGTTGTCTTCATAGTTCTGAATGTGTAATGTTGCTTTGGACTTTCTTCCATTTGTAAATGGTGTTTGCCATTGTTATGTTTATAGTTAGCAGGGATTATATCTTGTGCCAAAAGCATTGTCAAAAATCTAGCGGAACATAAGCGAGTTTAGACTGGAGACAGATGTGAAATTTAAAACAATTTGTACTATATGTACTTCTGAAATCTTTTGTTTTTGTATAGCATGGTATGGTAGATATTTTCTTATTTGTTGGTCTCTTGTAATTATTTTCAACATTATTTTGTCAATGAAAAAAAAGACTTACTTATACCACCCCCATCGTACCCCAATCCCTTCCCTAAATCCCTGGTCAAGACAACTGTAGGATTAGGACAAATAGGAAGATAAGGAGAAAATAAAAATTGAAGTTATGATTTTGGGATGTCTACCAGCTTATGTCAGCATTTGCACATGCATAATCATGGGTACCCATGTCTTACGCACACTTGATGCACTCAATTTTGTTTCTCCCTGACTCCTTGAATGGCATGTAAACTGTTGACTCTGTTGAGTGATGTCCATAATGACTGGATTACTCCATTTTATCAGTTTTATTTTCACTCATACTTTTTGACACATCGTGCACAATTTTATAGAAGAATACAGAAGACCCACATGCCTTATATATAAATTTGTATCATTCAGGAACATTGAAGGGATTCACACTCTTCCTAAAAAAATATCAGTAGACCGTAAATTGATATAATTAATTTTTTGTGATGAATTTGAACGCGAAAGAATATTCTGAAGTCTCCAACGTAGATCCATAAAACAATTGTGCCTTACCAAATCATTGATGGTGTAGACTAGAATGACACAAGGCATTAAGGACATTCTTGATCACATGTGATTAGACAATCAAAGAAAAAAGGTAATGTGGTACTTGGATGCCATTGTGCAGCATAGAATGTATTCAGGTGTTATTTTTGGTTTCTTTTTTTTTCAGAACTCTCTTTTTTCTTTTTCTTGTCTTTCATAGACCATACCAAATCAATCTAGGTACAAGAGTATTTCATATTGAACAAATTATGTGTAGTCCTCATATGAATATTTTGAAGTATTGATTTGAAACTCACTTTCATGAAAGAGCTTTTCAACTACTAGATGTATGAATTGAGTCAGAAACTAACGTTTGTTTGTTAATATGTCATAATGTGCTTTCTACTGTCTTCTCTTTCATAAGACATTACCTCTCAAAATCGATGTGTTGAAGACTTATATTTGACGTATAAGTAAATTGAATCATTATGAAGCATAACTAACCTTTATGAACAATCTAAAATCAAGAAGAATACATTAAGATATTGGTAGAGAAAATATAATTCATGTCCATTTAAATATAAAGTAAATGTACCAGCCTTTGTGTATGCTTACGGTAGTACCTTAGTCCCAGATTAACCACAAGTGCAATTGAACTGAAAGTCCTTGAAAGTAACACCAATGTAGGTAACATGATGATACGTTTGAAATTTTGTATCTTGTTTTGATGGAAAATGAATTTAGAAGAATGCTTCATTTTAGAGTTGGATTAACAGTACAAGATTACCTATTCAATCAACATAAAAACAAAACATGATTCATAATATTTTGAACAGATGTGAAGGCGTGGTAAATATTATTGATAATGTTTGCAGTTGCAGAGATTCTCAACCTGATATTGGGTGTGAAGCCATATACCTTCCAAGCAATCAAACCACAAATTACATCTTTAAACTCATTTTGTAAGTAGCTTTTAACAACTCTAGAAATCTTCAAAAGCATATACCCCCCCCCCCCCCATGAACCCTCCTTTACATGTACCAGTTTTGACATGCACATTACATTCACATAACATTTGATCTGATATGCTCTGTCATAAATTATGTTATATTAATCATGGAACTGGATGGATCATTGACCAATTTTTCCTTTCAATGACCAGGACATTTGTCTTGTTTCTTTATTTACTGACCCAAGGTCAATTCTACAGTATTCTAGCTCATTTTGCTCATTAGATATGGATTTTTCTTTTTAATTGGCAACCTGTGAAAACATATACAAAAATACTTGTAAAGCTTCTGTAATATGTCCAAGAACACTGTGTCTTGAGAAGTTTTAGTGAGCTTGACAATTTTAAGGGAAAAATGAATGAATTCAGCAATGTTTGTGTTACAAAGTGTAGGCCTTTGGTCATCAATTAATTGATTGTAATGAAAACAAGAGAGCTGATATATTCATATCATTGTGACATTGCTGTTCACCTGAAACAGAATGGTATTATAGTTTTGTTAGAGTAGCAAATTACAGGTTAAAAGCAAAATGCAAATTTATTTGTTTGTACATGGAGATTGAATAGGCAATTTCTAAGATGAAGAAAATAGCCACTTTCTTCCAACATTGGCAATGTCTGTCAGTAAACGAGTCAAACATGCATACAAATATTCTCACCATTGTTATTTGAGAATTGTTATTTGCTTATGGCTTGCTAATTAGCATTAAAAGGAACATGGGTGCATGTAAATGCAACACAATTTCTACCTTGATCACTAAGAAGAGAAACTCATAAGCAAGTTTACAACAAAACACTTGTATTATGACTTAATTAATAATAAGCTGGAGGAAAATGCAAGTTTTGGGGTCAATTTTTGAACGTTGTGAACAATATAAAAGCGTATTGTTTTTCATTTTGTGTATTTTTGGTCTTGTTTTTCAATGGAGAAACAACATGTACATTGACAATTTATTATTGTTTTTCGTTTTTTTTTAATGTGTTTACCTGTTTTGATATTTGACAGACTTTGCCTGTCTATTTCAGTGAAAGATACCTTTGGTGTTTTGAAGTAAATGTTTTACTGGTGAAAAGAATGAATCACTTGGAACCCTCTGTCTTGACTCGGTGTTCTTTTTATTTTTTATATTTTTCTTTACTTTTTGTAAATGTTGAATAATGTAGATACATTTTATATTTCAATTACATGTATACTGGCATAGAAATATAGCATATACCTAGATTGTAGAAGTACTTAATGATTATATATTGTGCTGCAAATAGAATAGGATTTCATTCTGTTTATTACTTGATTACTGTTCATATGCATTAAAACTGAAATGAGCTTTGTTGCAATTGTCAGCATTCCACACATTGTGAAATACTGATGTTCTAAACAAGCATTTGTTTTAAAAAAATTGTTCTGTAAAAAGGAAAGAAAAGGGTAAAATTTCAAGATTATGTTTCGATATATATATGGAGACCAATGTAATGCATCAAGATTTCACAATGACTCTGAAGCTTATATGCTGCTATGTCAGTATTGCTGCATTCAGTGTATTATTCTTGATTTCCTAGGCAATCAAACATGACATAGTTGTTGAAAGACACATTTTCTTATAATTCCTAATGGTTGATTCTATTCAGTCGTTTGAAATGATATTGCATAAAATGTCAAATTGAGCATCTTTGTAATACCCGATGTAAATTGTAGCAATTTATTGATTATCAGTGGTGTCATGTGTACAATCTGGACTTCATTAAGTCATATTAAATAACTTTTCATAAAAGAATGACTATACTTTTTTCTTGTAATCTGTTCATGCAAGATTGTAATAATAATAATAATAATAATAATCTTTTAGTCCACTCCAAATTTTATTAAACCGAAATGAAAATTCTTTTTGCCCAATTGATCGTGAGCCTGGCAGCCACTGAGCAGCGCCAGATCGACGTTGCTCTATCCCTTATTGTTGAGCGCCAAACAAGGTAGCAGCAACTCCCATCTTTTAACGTCTTTTGGTATGACGCGGCCGGGGATCGAACCCACGACCTCCCGGTCGTGGGTTCGATTGGATGTGTAACTGTTGTTCTAATAGATTTATCATTTGTTGTTGATCAAGGGAGATTTCAGGATATTTGAACCCTCCTTCCTTCATTATTGCTAAATTTGATGCAGATATTTTTCTGTAGTCATTTTACCCTGTTAGAGACTCATGGATATGTTGGGGAGCTTGTGACAGACTTTATTGTCTTGTAAGGAAATTGGAGGAGTCAACTTTTATGTAAATGAATACATTATGAAAAATATTATACTTTACATGGCATGATATTACACAAATAATAGGAATATAATCTGTAACTACTCGAGACTTCTCTGGATAAAATATAACAGACTTCTGTAGATACAAAGTATTACTTTGGTAAATAGAATCAATGTTTTATTCAAAATAACTTTTCCATTATGAAAAAGTTGCACACATCATAACTTACATCATAATCTTCGAACCAGCATTGTATGCTTAAATAAAATAAAGCAGGCACAATCTAAAAAATTATGATAAAAGCAAAAGCAAATTGAATGGCACAATATAAAATTTTGCAGTATGAAGTAAGCAAGACTTTGGATATTTCAGTTGCATTACAAACTAAATTCCATACAAATTAATGTAATACTGTATAAAAATCAATTAATCAAACCTATGATGCCACTAAATTTCTAGAAAGAATCAAACTTTCCAAGACGAATTTCCAATCACAGTGCTATTTAAAACACTATCCCTTTAAATAATATCCACACGATTCATGAACCCATTTCTATAAAAAAACTGCAAGTGATATTTGGATGATTGACATATTTGATACCAGAAATTGTAATTTACTAGCCCAATAAATATTGTGCATTTTCATAATATTTCCCTTTAATTTCTCATGAATCAAAAAACATTTCTAGGGAGAAGAAGACTAATAAATTGTTGTCCCTATTCACCCCATTTTATACTACATTTTTTACATCAGAAGCACAAATTACCTCTTTCGCCACAACTAAATATTGTTACTTGTCACAGCAGTACACTATTCCATGCAGAAATTGACACAGTATTGCTTTGGTACTTTGCTTCTTTTTTTTTTTCTTGATGTATCATTACCAAAAGAATGAGGGCCCCTAAGTCACAGAGTCGTGTATTTGTTTACAACAATGACTCATAAGCTATTTATGTGAATCTGAAATCAAATTGTATTTTGCTTCATGTAAAAAAACAAGACATTGTTTATCCCAATTACCTTGTAGTGTTTTGGGTTTAATGAAGGTTTGTAAACTAATGAATGACCATTAGGTTGTTTTCATCAACAAGCAGTGTTATAAAAGAAATTAACTTAATGAATCCTTCATTCCTGTCAAAAACACGTAAAGTGTAATCACAGGATACTCCAAATTCATTGAATTCTTAATCTCTGTCAAAAACACCTAATCATGGAATAATCTGGGGGAAAATGAGAGCAACTCTCTAGCAAACAAAATCTACTTAACTGACTGAATTTCTACTTATTCCCCAAAATGTTGCATTTTATAAACCTCTGAAAATATCCAACTCTACAGATGCAATGTTAATACTGTAACTTACTGTTACATCAAACTATAGGCCTATATAAAAAGCAATTAGTGAGAAAAAATAAATACATTTGCTTGCATAATACAGATAATGTGACTATATACTGAAAGATATATCATATACACTGTAAATGTGCAATATAAAAATTGACACACAAATGTAATACTAGTAGTAGCATGTAGCAAGCAATATCTTTGTTACTTGATATTTTAAAAAGATACTGATCCAGATGGTGGGATTTGTTTGTTTTATGCAACTTTTTTTTCAATTGAATGAAATGAGACATCACCTTGTCCTTGATCACCAAAACTTCACATAAAAATTCTTTTTCAAGTTACTCTTTCCATATGATTTTCTATTTTGCTCGATTACAAAGCTGCAACTGCCTCTTTCACACCATGATATATCAATAGAGTATGCTGACTGGGGCTTATGCTAATGAATTTTCCCCCTCTTTTATAAGACCAATGGCGATTTTGTGGATGCTTTCGCAATATCACTGGCATATTACAGAGTAATAGCAAATAACTAATCTCACAAAACTAGCTCAAACTACGATGCCATGATTAGTAAAAAATAAACCAAGAAGTTATTCTCAGTCAAAGGTAGACAATTCCTGTAAACTACTGTTCATCTATGATCTCCATGATATCAGCAGTACAGCTCTTTCTTTTAAATATCAGCATTTCATGATCTAAAACTCTTCCCTCAGGCAAGATGGTTCTGAAGGTAAATCAGACATCCAGTGAATGATTTGATGCTGATGATATGATGGCTTCAACCTGAGCATCTCTCTCTTTCTTCATTTTATGCAGTTCAGACAGCATGTGTTCCAGTGGATCAGGGGTCTGTGATACACAATTTCAGCCGTTAGTTTCTGAAAAATAAGACAATAAATTTCAAGTTTTGAAAGAAGAAATTTGATGCGAATGAAGACACTTCATTAAAATCAAAATAGGCAAATAATGAAATCATTTATGGATTGGAAACTATCTATACATGTAAAAGCCTTATCATTGAGTACCAAATCTCATAAATTACATCAAGTCCATATGAATTAGCCTACCACTTTGACTGCGATGAACTCGATGATCTCTGAAAAGCGAAGGGAGAGAGAATACTAACTACATTCATCCAAAATGATATGGAGTGGTGAACTGATGGGAGAAAAGGATGCATTTAAGATTTTTTCTCCATTTATTAGCTACTAGCTAGTAAACTTTAAAAAACCCATAAGGGCTCAAATCCTGGCTTTTTTATGGTACGTACATTGTGTAGGTCTTTTGTTAGTGGATTGCTATATAACTAGTTAGTAGTATACCAGTAAATATTGCAAGACAATATTGCACACATATCTCTTGCTAGAATGGTAAATAATTAGCCCGACTCTCCAGCTCCAGGGAAATTTAAATCTTGTTGTTGAGCCAGAGCCTCATGAGCTTCTAGTATGAATTTTGATATTTCCACTAAGCACCTGAATAGATTCTCTATATTTTGTAAATAGTGGAGTCATTTCAAGGAAAATCCACATCATTGTCACCATCTTTATAACTATAAAGTCATGTAAAACTGATTCTTAGTTTATCATTTGTATATTTTCAAAAATGAGGAAGAGGGATTCTGTGTTTCAATGTCCCATCAGGAACCAAATATTTAAGGTAAAGAAAGCTGCCTATTTTTATGTTGACCGTTATCTCTATCAGCAGAAATCTTCATAATTTGTATTGTTTTTTGTTTTTTTGGACTGTCCTGGTTTTTCAAGCATCAGAAGTAGAACTGTCATGCACTGCTTTTTATTCTAATTTCTATATCAAGAGTCAAGACTACAATTTTTTTTTGGCTAAATGCGGAACAGAAACTGACATTTCGCAGGGTTTAACTACCTGGAATATCTGCATAACTTTGTATTTCTCCATGTAGTTGACTGCTCGCATGTATGGATCCTCTGGTGGCGCCATGTATTCAACATCATCTCCCAAGTCATATGGAAGTTGATCAAGTCTATCACTCAGAGTGTCTGGCTGTAAGGCTACATTAAAGCCGTCCCCTTCTTCTTCCCCATCATTGACACTACCTGGCAATAGAGTATCAGATACAGCTTTCGTAATAGAACGTTCAACTTCTTGAAGGCTGCCTGAAGAAAGGCCAGGTTCTGGAGCAGTTGAAGGACGTAAATCATCGGCTACAAGTGTGCCCGGCGCCGGGCTAGTTGCGGGGGGGTGCTCGACTATGTCCCCGCTCGCTCCACCGTCCTGCTCAGTGGCTTCATTTGTGGAATCCACAACTTGGTCACTAGAATCTTTCTCGGCATCTTCTTGAACAAAATTTCCTTCTGTTAATAATACAGGTTGATCTTCTGAATCCGCCATTACTAAAAAATCTACGTCACAACAAATTAAACAATATTTTGATATCAATCAATCACCGTTCGGATATAGTTTGTGTACATCATGCCCAGGATACGACCTCGAGTTAACCTTCATGAGCAGTTTCATTCTTTAGGGGTATTTATTACAAAGTGATTAATTTTGATTAAAATTTTCTTACTAATATCCTCAGGCTTCAACCAGTTTATTAAAAAAAATACTGTTTTAGATAAATTACATTTTTATTTGTTAACAAAAGATCATTATTTTCAATAAATCACTAATATTTTCCTTGGGACCCCTACAAATAATGAACGAGTCCACCTATTGATTGCCTTGGCTGGTGCATGTTGTATGCAATGGCTACATGGAGTCAAAACCGCTACTTCATTGTCGATGACAATAATGGTCATGGCCTTTGGTGTGTATATCGATTTGGAAATATATGGGGGCATTTGTATTTATCACAAATTTATCTTATACATTTTGTAACTAGGTACGAGACAGACAGACAGTCATCCGAATCAAGAAGTAGATCTACCCAATAAGCGGGCTTTGGATTTCTGATTTTTTAATTATTTTTTTTGTGCAATTAAAAATACCAGGTAGGTGAGAATGAGATAGGAATGTGGTGACACAAGCTGAATGTTAAAAAATGCAATCAATTATTCCTGCAATATTTTTGACTGATCAGTTTGATTGAAGTATACAAATGTTTAATATCTGACCAAAATGTTAAAGCTCTGTCTGGAGATAATAATGACAAACGCTTAGAAGCCTTTTTTCGGGGTGGGGGGGGGGGGGGGGGGGGGTATTGGCCCCTTTTGGTCAGGCACGTAGCCATAGTTCGATGTTTGGGGAGGCGGCACATTCATGTAATCGATCGAGGTAAAAAAAAAAAGTCTAAAAAAGTTCAACCGATCTTGGAAATTTTAGGGGGCACGTGCCCCCCCCCCCCCCCCCCCCCGTGGCTACGTGCCTGCTTATGGTATCCCACATGGAATCACAACGTGCATGGACAGACATTACAACCATAATAAAGGTAGTGGATTGTTATTCAAGGTGGTAGGGGCAGGTGTCTACTTTTGGTTTAAATTAATTGTTCGATGGCCTTAGCATATGCCATGTGTATATTGGCTCCTTTAACAGAATATATAGGCCTATCCTATCCAGAAAGTGATGGGGAGCCGCGCATCACAAATATAATGGATTTTTTCCCCTTCTTGGCTGAGCCTTCAAACAACTTGAAGGCGTGAGGGCTGACCCCGGGCAAGGCCCGCCCCCTCCTAACATATCCTGAATACACATTTTTATCTTACAAAGTAATCGTTTCGTAATGAAATTACATGATGTATTATATTTCAGATAAAGTTTACAAAGTACGAAAAGATTATTATCATAATCATATTAACAACCATAACACAGGGTGCTTAGAGATAACCTTCTCTTTGCTTTTATGCCATTAATCATAATGTTGTGTAATATTGAACCGCGGTTATGATGTCAAATTTTAATTGGTTCTTAAGTCACTCGGGGTTTTTGGTCACTGGCCGTAACGAATCGGTCAATGATGTGAGTGTGTGTCAAGGTCTATCGGTATAATGGCCCCCGGCCCCCGGCCCCCTACCCCTCTCCTTCGATCTCCTAATAAGGAATAGTCTACTTTCGATAATCTTCTCGAACTATGTGCATTGGCTTCAGGGTGTTGGGGAGGGGGGCTCCAACTTTCCCCATAGACCCTAAATTATTGGGGTGGGTGACAATTTTTTTTTTTTTTTGGGTGGTGCGGGCGGGGGGGGGGGGTGGGAATCGTCGGGTGTCGCTTCATAACCTGTAGTCACTAATCAGAACACATTTTCGCTACCCATAATCTTAATCCTATACATATAAACCTAACAAGAAGCACAGTCGCAACTCAAGCCCAAGCCGTGTCATGCTTGCTTCTTTCAGAGAAACAGCAAGGATTTTTAGTCAGTTCGAGAGGGGCACTGGGGAACACCAGTCTTGTTTATAGGCCGGGGGGGGGGGGTCCACAATTTAAAAACAGATGAATCCCGGCCAGCCTTCCCGATCGGAAAGGGGTGTTTTAATTTCTTAAGGTTAAGGGTCGTTTTTTATATCTTTGTTTGAATGGGGTCCTCGTCCCTTTCGCCCCACGGATCCGTGATCATGGGATCATTTTGCTTGGTTGACAAACCCATTTTTAAAACAATCTACCTTTTCTGTTTTACAAGGAAGTGAACTATGAGTGTAATTTTGACATTTTTTCAAGGCAGTGGCTTTCACTGATTATCAGTGGTGTATTATAACCATAGAAACTTACCCAGTGTATCCACTAGCGGATCCAGGGGAACCGGCCCCCCCCCCCCCCCCCCATTTTTTTGTTGTAATGGGTACTCCTTGTTGAAACGCATGCACGGTAGGCCGAGTATTGTTTATCATCATTAGCATCATTCCTTTTTTTAAACGTAGGGGTCTATTATTATCATTATACCTTTATTTGAATGGTTAATGTAAGTTTGTTTGTATCATTGATCATTATAATTTCTTACACCTTTCTAAACAAAACAGCGCTTTTATAATACCTAAGCACCTTTTCAAGGTCCACATGGATGATGTGTTATACTGGTACCTAACCGTGATGATATTTTGTTTTTTTCTCCTAGGCTGCAGCTGTTGAGTCGTTATAACATGTCGCCTCTATCACAAATTTCATGTTAACCTCGCTCTGTTGAAGCTATAATAACACGTAATTATGACTGGCCGAAAACGTGACAAAATGGGAAAGTGACCGCTAGTCCCAGTATGATACCGGCTCACTCTTGCATAACGGTCACTCAAAAGCGGAACGGTCATTAACAGCGAATTAAGGACTTTGCCGCATTGCAGCATCCTGAAGTGCCGAAGTCATTAAGGACTATTTTGTCATTTTCAGTGTAATTGCGACAAACATTGTCGCCATCTCCTCTCACTGGAACAAAAAACAGAGACTAATAAAATGGATGAAAATAATTGTCTGACTATGGAAGTCAATGAACCCAGCATATCTAAACGTGAAGCCAGTGTGGTGCGGGAAATGGGGATTGTCTTGGGATTTTCCCAGATCCTATAACATCATCCCGTCTAAAAATCAAATTAAAAAAAACTAAAAGGGAAATGTAGATCCTTTTTTGTTGTGCTTGCTTTTTGTAGTTCTGAGACACGTGCCACTTTATAGCTTATACGAAATGTAGAGTGACTTGCTGCCTGGGCTTCTATATTATAATAATATCAATTGATTTTTTTTTTTTTAGAATCAGAAAAGTTTGATAATTTTTCTCTGATCCGAAACAAATTCACAAATCATATTCCGAAATGAGAAATATGCCATTTTATTTACATAATCTAGGATTGAAAAGGAGAGAAAAAAGAAGAAAAAAAACCCCAACCTGTCAAGATAGATATTTGTACAACTTAGAGCCGGGGGAGGGGAGTGGGGGGTACTGACTAAACTACTGATGCCCCACTTCTTGAATGCAAATCTTTGAAAAAAGATTGTTTATGAAGAACAATGCACAAAGGCCTTTATCATAATGCAAAACTCGGCCCGAAACCAAACCCATCGTAAATTTTTCTCTATGAAAGGTCTCCACATGTCTTGATTGGAATTCAGTGTATAATTAAACGACCAACTCATATAGACACTAAATGAAATATTTATTTTATGTGTATAATATTAATTTATCCTCAAGTTTTTTAAGAGCGCCGAGATATCGTCTCCAGTCTCCTAAACTTGTGCTGTGAAATAGAAAAAGATTGAAACTGTAACTGCTAAAACGATTACAGTCTGCGGACCAGACATTATGCTCATGCGCATCGATGAATGCAGTTATAATATCCGATAATTAATTCGGGATTTCAGAGAAATGTTGATTTTTCTGTTGTATGCATGGAGTTTTATAATAGTATCCGACAGTGCCTCTCTTCTTCTTTTTCTTCTGCTTCTTCTTCTGCTTCGATCTCCTCCTTCTTCGGCTTCATCATCATCATCATCATCATCATCATCATCATCATCATCATCATCATCGTCACCACCATCATCATCATCACCGTCTTCTTCTTCTTCTTCTTCTTCTTCTTCTTCTTCTTCGTCTACTTCTTCTTCCTATTCATCTTGCAGGGATATCAACTTTCTAGTTTCTAAAATTTTGCGAGTGAGACAGTGAGTCAAAAGTGCGAGCAATAAATTTGACACTTTTTATGGTGACAATAATGTCGGTTACTGCATCATTATATGCAGGCGCGTACACAGGGGGGGGGGGGGGGGGGGGGGGGGGGGGGGGGGGGGGGGGGTGGGGGGGGGGGGGGGGGGGGGGGGGGGGGGGGGGGGGGGGGGTGTTTGGGGGGTTAAACCCCCCCCCCCCCCCCCCCCCTTTGGTAATTTTTTGTGTGTAAACCCCCCCCCTAAATTTCTCTAAAACCCCCCCCCCCTTTTGGATTTTTTTTTTTTTTTTTTTTTTTTTTTTTAATTAAAAAAATAAATAAATAAATAAAAAATCCCATGGTTGACCTAAAAAAGCTGACCTTACCCCCCCCCAACGGAGCAAAATGTCAAATTTTCAAATTTCGAGACCAATGTGTCCTCTTACCCCCCCCCCCCCCCCCCCCCCCCCCCGCTTATTCAGCGGCTGGCTGAGTCGTTGCGAAATTTTCGGCCCGATTTATAAATGTTAAAACCCCCCCCCCCCCCCCCCCTTGAAAAAATCCTGCGTACGCGCCTGATTATATGTATTTGAGGAGTAATAATAACATGATCACGAAGCCTTAAAAAACATTAATTCGAGCCGGAAATGTGTCGGTGTGCGTAGTCAGCTCTTGAAATGGAATAAGGCCTATTATTATCCGAACATAGTTTCTGTAAGCAATGTAGTAGTTTATTGAAATTCACCTGATTTGATTTTAAAAATCTTTTTCTCCTTCTTCAAAACTTTAATAGTTATCTGCCTGCTTCAGACTTGAAGATTCTTGCAGACACAATCATGGAGAAGTCCCAGCCCATAGACTAGCGAGGCACCCCTACACATCCCTGCCTCGATCATAATGCCAAACGATGATATTGC